CTTACTTTCTTTTTCATCTTCTCTGCTATTATTTATTTCCTCCATGCCTCTCGAACAATTTCTTCTTTCGTTATTAATTTTTCTTTGATGCATTTTTCTTCTTTTGTGAGTATTAAAAATTTATTCTTACTTTCTTTTTTATCTTCTCTTGCGATTATTTCTTTTATTTTATCCATGCCTCTCGAACAATTTCTTCTTTCGTTATTAATTTTTCTTTGATGCATTTTTCTTCTTTTGTGAGTAATAAAAATTTATTCTTACTTTCTTTTTCATATTCTCTGCTATTATTTCATTTATTTCCTCCACGCCTCTCAACAATTTCTTCTTTCGTTATTAATTCTATTCTTTGCTCCTCCCCTTCCTTTTCGTAATACAAAAACACTACACTAAATAATTACAATGTTTTATTTACAAACTATCTCGCACGAGGACAAACAATTCTTGTCCAGCAACTATCTGTACATCAAGAAATCCATTTTCGTGACGGGTTGTAAATAAACGATTGCTTCCCAACACGTCGAGGGCGATATGATGCTGCAAGAAATACATTTACATTTTATTAAATATATAATAAATAAAACATAGCGCTCATGCACGTTACATTGATCAAGATCTGGTCTTACGGATCTAACTAACTTAGAATAGCTCTATCAGTTCTATAACTCTTCCTCCTGGAGTTCCAGTAAAATCCACTTCCTTACTTTCTGTTGGATGTTACTACTATAGGATGACACCCAAACTACACTAACTTTATTTGTGCCGGACAGCCATATCAGTTCTTCCTAGAGGTCCAGTAATTGTCATCCCTTATTGATCCAGAGATACCACAGGAGCAAACCGCAGTACTCCCCACCGTGTTTGGTAAGTCAACCTGGAGGCAATCTTTCCACATGTAACTGAGGCGACATTATTATCAGACAACAACACATTGCAGAAATCCAACCCTGATTACACAGGTAAAAGCAAAGACAACCCAGAAGACATAGAATCATGAATCTGTCTTCTGGATTGTCTATGGTGAAACGCAATAACCACTACCAACACCGTTTCATTCCTCAGTTTGTTACATCTAACGACAATTGATACAAATGAGAACATACTGGGTCCTGGTACTTCGGTCTCAGCCTCCCACGTTGGGTTCCACCTGCTTGTTGTGGACACAAACATTGAACTGGACATATAACGTTTTCCTTCTCCTTCGTAGTTCACCAGGTTGTAGTGTCCAGGTCCCGGCGCTGGCTCCACTTCAGGCAAAGCGAAAGCTGGAGCCGAGATACTTAGATAATGTTGTCGTCTGTACCAAAATAAAAAAAATCCGATTTGTTTCACAATTTTTGAGGAGTTGGGAATGGTTGTTGTAAGTTGATTGGTGGGCAATAGGGGGGGGGGGATTAGGTTGCCAACATATAACCGATTTTCGTAACTTAAATTTCATGTAATATATTAGCTTAAAATACTCATTAATAATTCATGACGAAAATACAAAAGAAATGAATTTTAACCAATGTTTGTAAATCGGATAAAGATTTGACCTGATTTACATAAACTTCAGCTTTGATTTTCTCGGCTTAGACAATGTTTATTTTTAAATTACTTCGCCACTGAACTCATAAGATGGGTCATTTTTTAAGTACGTTAAAACATTCGCATCTCGAGTTTGTATATCAGATAAAGGTCGACTGCTCATGTTTTAACTAGTATTTAATTTTTAGCCCACCAATTGGTTGAAAATTTATTGTTAGTTACAACTTTGTTACAGTTATTCAGCCATCATTCAAACTTCAAAGGTAAAATTCCACATTCCGTTGAACACAAAAATTCCACATTCCCAAACAAAAAGTGAAACTCAAAAACAATTATGACTTACTGAAACTTGTATCCCTTGCGTTTCTCTTTTCTAGTATTGTAAGGATTATAGGAGCCAGGCCCTGGGCCGAGGTCGGGTGTACATGTCATCTTGCGTTCTGTCGTAGATTTGAACGACGCCGAGGCTCCTGTCGAACTTTTGTGAAGTAATTCCTCCTTTACATTGTATTGACCTGGGTATATGCAATGTTGTTTAAATCAACAAAAACTTTTAGTTAATGATTAAATAAAATAACATGTAATTCCATTTAGTTCAATTCAACTTGAAACTTACATGGTGATGGCAAATTAGCTGCAGTTTTGCTTGTAATAAAACTTTGTCTTTTCGAACTTTGAAAATAATAAAATAAAAGATCACACCGTTGAAATTCGATAATTATTTAACTAATTAAAGTATTAAAGTAAAGTATGGAGTAAAGTAAAGATCTATAAATGTTATCAATCTTTGTATTCTTAAAAGAGGAAAGTATACATTATAGGTTTTCACCAAAACATCCGGAGTATAAGAGTATACAGAATAGACCAATACTTACTTTGATTTAAAGGCAGCACAGGCAGACACGTTATTATCATGAGCTACTTTACCAGTGGCCTTGGAAATCTGATGCAAATATGAGGCGTAACAAAAAAATTAAAGAAATAATTTATAATTTAAGAGTTGAGACTTAATATATATATATTTATAAACTGATGATGAATATACCTTATATGAATTAGGAGCTGGTGCTTGAAGTTGTTTTCTTTCGTCAGATGGCATAGCAATTGGCAAATGAAAATTACTAAAAAGAAGATATATGACACATGACTTGTGCAACACAAATCTCATCAGCCAATGCAAATTAATTTTGATTTTTTTTCCAGGTAGCCAAAAAAATTTTTCAGTTAGCCCTGCGTGGTCCAAACTTGCTCGCTTCGCTTCAAGCTTGCAAATTGCGACAGGGGACCAGGCACCGAAGAATTTTCTTGAGTTACGTTTCATATTGTCAAAATTGAGTGCCCACTAATTTTCTCATACCCAATTGGTCGAAAATTTTCATATACAAGCCGAAAAAGGAGTTCTGGCATTTGAAAACGGAGTCCTGGCATTTGAAAACGGAGTTCTGGCTTTCGAAAACGGAGTTCTGGCATTTGAAAAGGGAGCCTTGGCATTTGAAAAGGGAGTTTTGGCATTTGAAAAGAAAGTTTTGGCATTTGAAAAGAAAGTTTTGGCATTTGAAAAGGGAGTTTTGGCATTTGAAAAGGGAGTGTTGGCATTTGAAAAGGGAGTTTGGGCATTTGAAAAGGAAGTTCTTGAAATTTTCTACCTTACTTGGATTGCAGTTAGCAGGTAGTGCCACTACCTAAGATCCCAACATCTGACAAGCATGGCTTTGCTAACGAGTTTTTGAATCGCAGATGTTTCAACCAATTTTAATAAATCGTAACCAACTGTTGCAAAGTCATATAAAATGTTTATTGAATTAGCATATTTTGTTTACCTGGTAACATTTGCTTTGTTAAAATCTGACTTGACGGGAGGCTTGAGTGGTTCATATTCGCCTGTAGTTCACAAATATTATAATACATGTTGTTGTCTTTGTTTATTTCAAAGTACAAAATATAGTGTTATGCACCAAAAAAAAAAGGATGTTTGTGATGTTGTTGCTGAGTGAGTCTACACCGAGCAAGCTGAAAAGTTTGCTTGACCACAGTGGGAATCGAACCCGCGAGCTTTGGTTTGCTAGTACATCAAAACCTCCTTGGTTTGCGAGTCCAATGCTCTAGCAAACCAAAGGTTGCGGGATCAATTCCCACAGCGGTCAAGCAAACATTTCAGCCTGCCTACACACAAGCACAGACAACATCACAAACATAAAGAAAATACAGGTTATTCTAATGTTATTCTGGTATTATTTTTATTATGTTACAACAACAAAACACTTTTTCTACCAGATATTAATTCACCAGTTTATTACGATCATTTAGGTACAGTCAAACCCCTATAAGCAGACACCTCTCTTAAGCGGACACCTCTTTTAAGCGGACACATATCTCAGGTCCCATTCGTTTTCTTTAATAAAATACTATTATCATAACCCCTATTAAGCGGACACCCCTCCTTAACGGACGCGGACACCTTTCTGGAGGTCCCAATGGGCAAATCAACCTCTTTTAAGCGGACAGATGACAGATTGAATGATAAAATGTATTCAATATTCGACAGTAAATAACAATTGAGATCAATTTACATGGCACATTGACTCACCAACTTGGCGCGAAGACATCTGAGCCAAGATTATTAAGGAAGTGATGAACGAGGACGGAGGACTGTGAGCCGCCAGCCACGATGATACTCAAATTACACACCTAATTACACACCTTTGCCTCCTGCTGTGTTTTTCTACATACCCCTTTTAAGCGGACACCCCTTTTAGGCGGACACTTAGGCGAGGTCCCGAAGGTGTCCGCTTAATAGGGGTTCGACTGTACTTCATTTCTTAAGCATAAATTGTAGTTTTAGTATCAGTGTTCAATGCTTAAATACTCACCAGGTCCAGGTTGGGCAAATGCTCTTTGCTCTTTATTAAATCTGGTCATCTACAAAAAAAATGATAAATTACCGTCAAAGAAAATAATTCAAGACTATCTTGCAAAAAATATGATACAAAAACTCACACATTTCAAACTGAAATAACGTCAAGACGTTTGCTATACCTTGGAAGCAAAGGTTCCTGTCCCACGCTTTGAGTAAGAAGGAGAGATCTCATGATTTGATTGTTCATAACCCTTGTATGTTCCTGGTCCAGGATTTTCATTCTGCACATGGTATAATACCAAGCATGAGATAAATATTGATATTGTATAATCACATCAATATCACATTACAAACATTGGACATTGAAGTGAAGTGAAAGGCTTTATTTACTGAGGGTAACATGTGACAGTTAGAAACTGATAAACTTGTGGCCCTCAAATTAATAATAATTAATAATAATATTAATAATATTAATAGAATTATAATAGAATATTATTAATAATAGAATATTATAATAGAACATTGTTAATAAATATAATATTATTAATAATAGAATATTAATAATGGAATAATAATAGTTAATAATAGAAAACTGTTATTATGCTTTAATACTGTCTGATGAGCTGTGAGTCTTAATGAGCTGTTTTAATTAACCCATCGAGGGCCAGCACTCTCCCCTTGACGATTAAAATCGTCTGGCCTTAGCCAGGGTAAAGTAATAAAGTAGGGCATATAAGGGTGCATTGCCATTGAAAGGGTTTAAGTGGCAATGCCCCTGATGAACTCTACTTTGCTATTTTATTCTGTTTAATACAAGAAAATTTACTCATGAAGAGGAGTCCTAGCACTCAATGCATTAATCAGGCCATCTGCCAATGCACCCTGTTAACCCTTTAAGTGGCAATGCGCCCTGATGAGCCCTACTCTATTGTTTTACTGTCTAAGGGGAGAGTGCTGCCACTCAATTGGTTAAACTGTCTTAATGAACAAACCAACTGAATGAAATTATATAGAATGAAGATGAGCAAATTTCCTTACAACTGCAACTAGTTCTTGAAATCTCTTAGCTCTAGATAAAAATCCCTTCCTCTCTGAATTATCCACGACAATGGTCTGATATTTACTGGGAATTGAAGACGATGCAGCCACAGTCCCATGTCCTGTGAAAAGTCAGATTAATGTTAGGACCCAGTTGTACCAAAATAGCGCAGTGCACCAAAAAGGCAAGAATCAAAGCTATTATAAATTGTTCAAAAGGTCAAACTTCACATGAAAAATTTGCGTAGCTTGTTACGTTAATATTTTCAGAATTAGTATTTTTCCGATAGAAACAATGATAAACTTTTATTTGAACGAAAAGACTGACCTCTGTGTAGATTTCCAAGTGAGTTTCCCCCTACAAATCGTCCTCTACTATTTTGAAGTTGCACACTGTCAGTCGCCATCTTGCCTGAGTTTGTCTGTTACCATGACAACCTGTGACGACACAGTGACACTGATCTATATATGATCTGTATGAAAACTGAAATGCGAATATATACACGTCGGCTATGGAGCCTCGTTTTCGTGATTTGGAGACTGGACTTTTAACTAATGTCTGAAGTTTACTTTCCAGAAGGGTGTTTGTGACGCAGAATGTTCTGTTTTATTGGCATCCGTTATTTCATTAGTAACAACAAGTATTCAAATTAATTCACATAAGTAGTCTTTATTTGTCGTCGTTCTCTGGTTTATTGATAGTTTACTCAGTTGCAATAAGTGGAACATGAATTTTCGATGAACAATCGCCAAAGAGACATAATATGTCACAGATCAAAAAGTAATCAAAATACACTGAAAAAATAGACTTTTTCAGTCATTTTTGTTTTGAGGCAATTTTTGTTGCAACTAGTGTGACACAATTTCTGAGGTGTGGGAGAAGGTATAGGTGTGCCTGACCCGACACACGGCGTTGCGTGTAAACGAAATCTCCTTCCAGCTTTCTCGTCTTATGAAGTTTGAAACGAGCCTTGAAGTTAAAGAAAGCTTTACAAACTTTGAATACTCAATAATTAAATGATTCGTGTCAGGCTTTTGTTATTATTTTGTGAAAGTGTTCTAGTAAAAATAACAAAAAAAAACCTTGTTTGGTGTATTTCTACTGTAAATGACTTAATTAAACCGCGTTTATCTGAAGGATGGCTTAATTTATTCAAGTTTTTGTAGACATTCCGATCCACAAGAAGTCCGAGAAACCGGCATTGAATCGGTTTGAGACCGCTCTAATTTTGATCGATCTCAAACTATCTCCAAAGTTCTTTTTAATTTATTCAAGGTATTTAGTCAGATCTTTAAATGCGATCATAAAAGTATTTAAAATCCAAGAATTTCGCTATCCCACAATGTTTGTTTTGATCACGACGATATAAAAGTTTTAACCAAACTTTAGTAAAGAAGCTTGGGGGAGATTTTCACCGCAATTTGATTGTTATAACGTAATCAAATGGCAATCTGACCAAGATCGGTTACACTGTTAGGAGATTATCGTGGGTTTTCAGTTTCCAAAACATTTCCACCGAATACGCGCCTTCCCAGCTTGACAATCAATCTCACTTCCGTTTGGGGTTTGTTTTAAAGTCCCGTTGGCATTGTCAATTTTGAAATTCTTCTCGGCTCAGTGTACGACTTGAACCTCTTTTTAGGGCGAGCATTCCCTGCAATTTTCGATACATACTATGAAAGTAGTATGAGCACGCGTTTGGTGCATGTGTAATAGTAGGGAGTTTAAGCTTCACGTTTCCGGGAACGGCAGGTTCGAACTTTCTTGGCAAAATTTTCGTTGAACGTTTTCGTCAGCCATATTTTTCTTTCTTGCGTCGAAAGAATAATTATGTATTTCAGTTTTAAAACAGCAAGTTCATTTACTCTTTATTGCCTGATATCGTAAAATTTTTCTTTGCCTGGCGTTTGCCATATGCATATAACGCGAAGCTTAAACTCTCTAATAAACAAGCGCTTTTAAGCACGCTTAAAAGCGTGGATGAAACGAGGATGAACGTGCATGCGGAGTTGGTAGTCACAACACAACCTTGGTTAGCTGTTCTTAATGCTTTCCCAACACTTTCATGTATTCCATTTAAGTTAAAACATTGTTACAACACTCATCAAATCTTTATTTTGTTAATCTAGAGCTTGAAATGTCCCCTGTGCCAATGCCTGACTGTCAAACTCTCATCCTCATTTGACCGGGGATTTATCTTGTTATATTAAAACAACTATATGGACAAACACACGGCTTCTACATTCGTCAATCTGCATTTTTCAATTCTTAAAGAAAGCTATTTTTCATCTAATCAATGCGAATTCTTAGTCTCGTATTATCATATGAATTTTTCTAAGAACAATTAGCAATGATAGTGTAATACGAAACCAGCTTGAACAAAACAATCATTGAGAAAGAATGGAAAGATGTCTATAGTGACTATCGAGTATTGTGTTATATTTCTCAGTGTGATAAAGGAACGCGTCGACAGTTTGTTGCAAATTACCTTTGTCCCGAGTAACGGTCGGTCAACGGTCAATGACCGGGTCAAACCATTTTTGTTCGAGATTGATTTTTGACCTATATTGTGGACCCGTTAAATATTATGTTAAATTGTATAAGGGTTTCATGGTATTAAACATCTCGTGTTTGAATCTTGCCAAAACGATTTCGCTGAGAGAATCCTTACTAGATGATCAAGCGACAACGCATCGTTTTTATGTGGGAGTTGATATGTCATCGTGTTTGACCGGTCAAAAATTGGAACTGCTACACAATCCAATTTAAACCAAAACAACTTACGTAATGATTGGCTCAATATAATTTTCAAATCTACACTGAAAACATGCGAGAAACTTTAAAGAGACAAAGCGTAATATTGTATTTCTGAAAGTTTATATTTCACACTCGAGATATATAGGGTATATTTTTCATAATCGAACATAGAACGCATTTCAATAGGCGGGAAATAATCATATCTTCGCGTCTGCTTCGTAGATAATAAACTCTACCAAACATCTGTCGCTTTTGTCAACCCGTTTCAACCAATCGAAACGCGTGAAAGGCATAGAGTAGCCAATCACAGCGCTCCCCGTTGACCGTTCCATGGTTTTATCTTTGGCGCCCCAAGCCGGATGGGTCGATGACACGATAAGTGATTAAAAACATGATATATACGTCAAATGAAATGGAAACTAATTAGTAATTCAAACAGAATCCAAGCGGCACATTGTTTTGACGAGTCAAGACGCTCAGTTTAAAAACGAGGTCCGCGTGGGTTGAATATGAAAATTTGAGAGCAGCCTTTTATTTCATTCAAGGCACTTTAAACTTTTCCATCTCTGCCAAAATACATTACTTTGCTTTCATATAAACTTTTCTACAAAAGGAAATCGTTTCTGGCAGAAATAATGAAGAATTCGTCGGCCTTTACTGGTAGACAGAAAATGTGGCTTTTTGAGAAGCAACAAGAGCAATCTCGACAAGTATAAACAAAGACAAGCGGTCGAAAAGTTGGACTACAGAAATTTTAGAAAACCCCAAAGAAAATGCCGCAATTTAAAAGACATAAAAGATTAAAGCGAATATCTTCGAAGCAGAAATTTGGTGTTCGTTATCTGCATCAGCACTTATTTAAAGACGAACCGACGAGCGAAGAAGATTCCGCGGTCGAAGATAGCCATCATTTTATACCACAGAAAACAGATGGCCGCTTGTGTTTTGTGCGCGCCATTTCCGGTTTGATGCTTCTGGCCGGGCTTGTACTTGCGCTCGTTGGAGGTCTGATGAAGAGGCGGGAAATTGACTACCGGGTACATAAAGACGGGGACGAAGAGCCGGTCGGAGATGCGGTGCAGTATAATTCAATGTTAGACGCTCTTGTCTTAATCGGAAGCGTTTTAATGATGCTGGGCGGTGTTATGCTCGCGGCCGTACAGATTTTGATTTGTTACCCGCGCATGAAGTCAGGTACCAGAAAACCGCGTGTAAAAGACCCCGAAAACTTCTTATACCCGGAGAAAACAAGCGAAAGTGAAGTGGCTGCTAAGAAATTTGATAAAGTGCCCGTGTATGCATTGGTTCATAAAGTACAGCCGAAGAAAAAGAACGGGAATAAAAGGACGAATCTCAGCATAAAAAAACAAAAATTTAAAACATCCATCGATGAGGAACAGCATGAACAGGATAATTGAACATATATTTTTAAAATGGAATAATACTGAATTAAATTATTATTTATGTACAAACGGTTGGTAAAAAATGTATGCCAGGGAAAGGGTATTATGTAAAATATACAATCAAAATAATTGATGGTATGGTGTTGATTATCAATGGGGGGTTGGGGAGAGGGGGGGGGGGGTTGTCTTGAATATTTTGTGGACGATTGGGGTTGTCTCACCTCCTTCCTAGAAAGTTATTTTTTATAAACACAATGGTTAAAGATAAAGTGTTCAACGATTTTGAGTATTACAGAATTAGATCTTATAGAGTATTATAGAATTCAAAAATGATCAAATTAAATATTCTCCAACTCAATTCTAGGAAAATGCTATATTATCCCTTCCCAAACTTCCACGAAATTAATTATGTACGTTATATATAATCTCTGTCAATTTTTCTTCTCCCAAATTTCCTTAGAACCGGAAATTAAATTTCCTTGAAAACGGGAATTTTCTAAATATTAGCCTGCGAACAGGCAGCTATATATATTATAAGGAATTTTTCGTTTAAAATAATTATTTAAATTCGGTGAGAAAATTATATTTGTGTTTAAAACATTAAAGTGAAGTTTTCTATTTGTTTAGTGTTTAGAAAATACGAAGAAAAAAAAAGTTTATCAAAAATATAAAAACTTGGCAGCGGTGGGATTCGAACCCACGCCTCTTACGAGACTGGTGCCTTAAACCAGCGCCTTAGACCGCTCGGCCACGCTACCATTCGGCAGAATCATGTGAAATTATGGTATATATCGAAACTCCGACTTATGATATAGCTGCAAATTATGCTAAAACTTACCCTGGATTCCAGAGCCTTCGACAGTAAATAATAAATTGAAATGTCGCGAAGGCTCTGGTTCAACGGGGCGATTCTTTGATTAAACCGCGCCAATCACAAAACAGAATTAGTGGTTTTAGTACAGAATCTGTACTAAAACCACTAATTCTGTTTTGTGATTGGCGCGGCTTAATCAAAGAATCGCCCCGTTGAACCAGAGCCTTCGCGACATTTCAATTTATTATTTACTGTCGAAGGCTCTGGAATCCAGGGTAGCTAAAACTGTGTGATAATCTAAAATGGCGCGAAACACGCAAAAAATGGACAAAAAATAGGTGGAAAACATTGCCACAAACAGGGTTTTACGCTGTTGAAAACAGCGAAAAATATTATATGCACCTTGGATATGTTAGTTGAGATTTTCAAAATGGTGATTGTAATAATTATAAAATTAATAGAAGTTGAACACTGTCCAAACCTTTGCCTTCAAAAATGGAGAACAGTGGGGTTTTTAGGGCCTGTTTATATGATCCTTGCTGGGCGGGAGTCACAAGACTGGGCAGTTACCAAGACGGCAAGACCATAATATAAACTCCCGCTAAATAATCACGCTGCCATCCTGAATAGGCTGCCATCTTTTGCCAGGACTGACTGCCAAACAGGACAAGAAATTCCCACACACTGTATCCTGGCAGGATGAAATTGCCTTTTGAGCACCTGTAAATGCTTTTCCTGCATTTATTTCGAGCACTTAACTGACTTCATCCGGAAATGTTTTTTATTCATATAAACACACCATCCCACAAGTGAATGCATTTTGAGTTGCAGACATTATCTGCTTAGTTCAAATACATACCTCATTCTGCACTCAATTGCTTCGACCTCTTTAGGCCAAATAAAAAAAAATACTTGGTTAGCGTCACACTCTCACAAATTTTCAGAGGCGGGCGGGCGGATTTTTTTTTTAATTTTTACTCGTTTTTTAATTTTTTAATAGTATTTTTGGAGGGGATAGGGGGCGGTTTTTCCACCATATCGGTGATATTTTTTGTACTGATGTTGCGAAGGCCGCCATTTTGCTTTAAGAACCTTGTATACCCAAGCCTACGCGCTCCTATCGATCAGTATACAGCGCGAAGGTCTGAGCATGAGAAAAATTTCAAATATTAAACTGTTTTAAGCTGTAAAACGAAGAGATTTACATAAAAAAAAATAAAAAAAAATTCAGAGGCGGCAGAAAATCGAGAGGCGGGCGGTGACGCTAACCAAGTATTTTTTTTTATTTGGCCTTATCTGTATTCTCCACTGACACTATATTAATATTGTATTATTGATATTTTGCATCATTCTTGTGTGTCATAGGCAGTGGCAAAGCTAGCCATGCAACTGGTCATGCTATGCTAAATGCTAATAAACCTGCATGTCTGATAACAAATACTGCCGTTCATATTACTTCAAAATACTAAAAGACAATAAAACGCGAAATATTTAAGGAGAAACTATAATAAATACCTGTCGAAGATAGTTTTTCATTGTGTCGTAATCTTTTCAGTACTGTCACAGTCTTTTCCTCACAGTAATTCTTCAATTTTTCAGCAGTTTCTTTTTGAAAGAAGCGAATCTACTACAACGCCATTTTAGATTCTCAAATTTCGCGCGCTTTTTAATGATGCAGACCGCGCAGGGCCTTGGGCTCTACAGTGTGCAATAATTTTTGGAGTGCAAGATTATTGCACGCTAACACGTCACAACGGAAATAACGTGGCAGCTACGGGATATTGAGAATTGTCCGGGAAATGCTGACCAATCACGAAGTAAGAAATCACAAATCATGAGTCACAAATCATTCAAAACGTAGAATTTACCCAATACCCATGCAAAATTCCTACTGTGATCACAGAAACTTTAATAGTTTAAGAGAGCCTAGGTACATCTTAATTGATTTTGAGTTCATCCAGAATGTTTATTTAATTGTTTCATTTTGCCTCGGTTTTCTAAACGGAAACAATTTTCAAACACTATCAGTTAGTCGTCAGACAAAATAAAACAATTTTCAAAGACTGCGGTAAAACAATATGGGTGAACTCAAAAAAATGATAATAAACGTTCTTCTTCATTAAAATTACACACGATGTTAATATACACTCTTAATCTTTCTCATTTCCGAGTTCAGGCTGTACTTTTTTCACGTTGGGATTTCCAACAAAATTCCCATAAAGCGCCGCGTCAAAATATAGAAATTGATTTGGAGCCATTTCCTCCGCATGCTTGACATACAAGTCCCCTGTTGTACACCAAAACCTTGGAACATCTTGTCCGTGTATTCGTCCGAGACATGTCGGCACAAGTAAACAGAATGACACCAACGCACTTCCTAATGTCAGGATAGTTAAGCCTACTATTGCTATAATATGTATATACAGAGACGGAATATCCAGTGAACGCCACAAATATTCCTTCGTCTCATCTGAGGAGACAATAAATGTTAGAATTAAAGAGGTTATCCCAAAAAAAACAAAAACAGCTCCACACAAAATACCCGTTACTTGATAAGATAGCACGCGATTGCGCCGTTTGATTCGACGAACAGTGTCTTGATCCAATGATTGACAACATAAGAACCATTGCTGGCTGCTAGGCTGTTGTTCTTCATACATTTCTCTGTGATAGCCTCGTATCAGCCCGAAATGATAGTTTGGGTGATGTTCAGTGTCTTCGTAACTAAATAAATTCGTTTGATAAGGAGCGTCATCTTGTGTTTGACAAGGAATGGAGCTTGGATACTCTTGTGGACTGGATTCATTTATGCTTTCAAATTGTTCACAGGATTCTTCAGTGACCGTCGTCTCTTTATCTTCGTGTTCTGTAATCCCTTTGACAAATCCATTACACTTTTTATCTTTTTCCATTTTCTATTCGATGAAATCTCGACCAAACTCCTGACCAAATCACATATAAATGTATATTTACAAACTTTATTCCTCGTTCTTCAACAACAAGATAAAATAAGTTGATACGAACTCTTCAAATGAAATCGAAGACACAACAGATTGATAAGGCATATGAGAAATAATTTTATAGTTTCACAAAATATTCATTCGAAAATTATCGTGTGTGCAGGCCAAGAACGAAAACAGCGATAAGCTCTGCTGGTGTTAATTGCTTTCCTGTGGCTTCGTTATCGACGAGAGAAAACTAACAGAGAAATTAAAGTTTTGAAATAAGAATTATTTTCTCGCCTGAGTTGATAAATAATGTATACTTGATCGTCTGATCCCATTCAATTTTAAAACAAACTGAGATATCCGGCTATTTCGTTAAAATTTTTTATACTTTCCCTTAATTTTCGCCAAACTTTTGAATAATTTGTCAATTGAATACAAACTCCATCGAAATATTTGCCCAGCCAATATAGCAAGCAATTTTACAGCTTTGTCAGATCACTATGGAAACGCCAGCCTACGCGTACACCTGTTCATTTCACATGTTCTTTTAATCTAGTATTTTCTCACCTACGCGCTGACAACAGATTACATTTCGCCCAAACTATCTTAAACCTATACCAAATTGCTTAAAAATTTATATTGGATAGTAATTATACGAGAGGTGTTACTTTACACACATAATGTTACAATTAAGTACAATGTTGCAAATAACCTGTTTGAATACCGGTAGCTTTCTTCTCTACCGAAACAAAGAGGTTGTTTATCATTTAAATATAGTTCTATTCTTATAAATACTTCATTTCTTTTTAAAACATAACTCGTAGAGCTTTTCCATTGGAAAGAGCAAAATCTTAAGTCCCCTTTTACTTTATAGTTTATAATACAAAAGGTTGCATATTTTTTACAAATTCGTTTAATTTCGCCCAACATTTTTCACACAAACGCCGTTCATTTTTCTTTCTGTGTTACCAGATAACGTCGGGATAAACTTGCAGTTAAATCATGTAGCCGAGACTGGTTTTAAATAAGCATATCAAAGCATGCAATTGTTCAATCAAATCATTTGTGTTTCACAGATGGCGACAGTAGTACTGCAATGTAAATTGATCCACTGCAGATTCATGAATATGCAAAAAATTGCTCGAAAAACAATTATGGCCATACGCAAATACATGATTGAAACAGTCGCATAGTTTGATTTAGTCTCATGTTAGGATTCAACGGCAATTCTACCCCGAGGAAGAACACGTTAGTTGGACGACCACCGAGCACACGCAGTAAAAGCTAGCCTTCACCAAATTTCCTGGAAGGTCGCTCCACCATTGTCAGCCAACGTCGAAGCAATATTTCAACCATCGTATGTGCCAGTCAAGAAATACAACGCACCGTCCCCCAAACTCCCCGCCGTCTTAAACTCATCTCTTAATCTAAACCGCCAATGCTCCTCAAGGTCTAGTTTAACCACGTTATCCCTCAATGTACTGCGATCTGAGCTGATCACGCAGATTTTCGCCCCAGGACAAAACTGAAAACCGCGCAGCAGTTCCTTGGTCACGTGACATCCGTTACATAAGTACAACAAAAGCCCGCCATATTGGCTGCATCCAGGCTCCTCGCGGTCCGGGCAAGACGTACTACGGTACTCAACAGTAAGGCCTCGACCCAAGTTAATGAAACAGTCCAATAGGAGAACAGGATTTGCCGCGTTCTGATTGGCTGCTGGGAAAACCTTCTGAGCCGATTTCAATCTTAAATATTCCTCTAGAAGGTAATGGGCCGGGATTGGAATCACGTGACCTGGGTCACGATCAGGAACGGAAATGATGTCATCAATATGAGGAGTGACGTCATAATGGCGGCCACCCCCGACGGGAATGCACTTGGTCAGTACGTTCATGTGGTTATACCGCAGTACTATACCACCGTGGGCGTTTAGTTTTAAATTAAAGTCCACCTGCTCCCAGGAGAATAACCGTCTGTTATATGTCACATGGTGTGTCGTACCAATGTTTAAAAATAACGACGAGTGAACGTGGCAGGCTGAGTACGAGTTCAGTTTATACTTCGTGTCATTTCCAGTCCCCCACTGGTTGAACCCGATCAAAGAAAATGACGTCATACTTGGAGATGATTCGACGACTTGTGTCGTACGAAGTAGTGACCAGTCTCCTGGCTTACCACGGTCGTCTTCGTCGAAACTGAAACGGTAAGAAATCACAAAAACATTGTTATACGCAGTAAAAAATACTAATATGCACGGTGTATTAGATAGGGCAAGGTGTCTGTATTAGAGAAGTGTCTGTATTAGAAAGGTGTCTGTATTAGAGAGGTGCCTGTATTAGAGTGGTGTCTGTATTAGAGAGGTGTCTGTATTAGGGAGGTGTCTGTATTAGAGAGATGTCTGTATTAGAGAGATGTCTGTATTAGAGAGGTGTTCGTATTAGGGAGATGTCTGTATTAGAGAGGTGTTCGTATTAGAGAGGTGTCGGTTCGATTGTAGACTGTAGTTCATATGAATATATTTTCTGAAGAAATTCTAACATTGTAAGCCAAAGCAGAATATGTGGAAAAAGTAGAATAAGATGTAACATACTTGTTTGAGTTATCAACGCTCAAGTTTTGCCACATGACACAAGAGTCGTCCATGATGTGAATGTAAGGCCATACTATATTACTTGAGTCACATTGCTGTCTTTGACGCTCTGCCAACAAATTCTGAGTCGCAAATTCCTACAGGGACAAACAAAAGTAAAAGATAATTTTAAAAAGCGAACGGTAGGAAGATTTATTCAAAAATCCCTTTGTATAAATGCTAATAGATGCAGTTAAAACATATATGAACGTGCTCATTAGACACCAAAATAGGGGATTCTCATAAGCACGCTAAAACAAGCATATCTGAGCGTGCTTATGAGACACTAAAATACGGGATTCTCATAAGCACGCTAAAACAAGCATATATATGAGCGTGCTTATGAGACACCAAAATAGGGGATTCTCATAAGCACGCTAAAACAAGCATATATGAGCGTGCTTATAAGACACCAAGAGTGACTGGCTGGCATGGAGAACAGTGGGATTTTCAAAACAAATGAAAAGACAATGAAATATTGCGATCCTAAATCATGACTGGATGGCTTGGAGAATAATGGGATTTTCAAAGCAATAAAAATCTGATCGCTTGATCATGACTGGGTGTCAAGTAAAATTCCTAAAGGGCTGATTATCGAAATTCGAGAGCTTTGCCAAATAACTATACGTCGTGTTTTATGCACAAGACAATTAAATACCTTAATTTTAACCAACCTTAATAATATCTTTAATCATCCCCAGTCCTTCATAGTTGCAGCTCGGTGGCAAGGAAACAATCACGTGATTTGGCCAGGCCTTCTGATATGACGTCATTTCATTGTTCTTCACAAATGTCACGTGAACCCCCTCGTGTCCTTCCATCGCATGGTAAAGATTGAGCAGACCTGTTAAAAGGCAGTTTTGGTTAGAGGTTCACAACTGATAGAACTATCCATTGGAAATAAAGTTAGTTTAATTTGACCCATTGAGGTGTAATGCGCCCTGGTGCACCCCACTTTAGCATTTTACTCAGACGATTTTACTCGTCAAAGAGAGAGCGCTACCGCTCACTGGGTTAATTAATTCTATGAAATAACATATTTTAACATCAAAACGAGGTCCTACCTTGTTCAGGCCGGCGGATTGAAGGCATAAAGATGGGAGACTTCAGCGCACGCTCAGAATGCCGACTTACAATTTTCCATCCCTCTGAATTCGACTTCCGAGTAACGATCGGAAGTTTCAACGTCTGCAGTTCATTCTGCTCGTTAAAAACGAACCACTCTCGTCGCGTGCTCGGGATTATGAACGTCAGTTGCTCACCAGTTCCCAACGTGAGCACGTGTTTCGTAAACAAACTCGGACCCAAGCCCTCGCGGTAATTCTTGCAATCGTCACAATGATGATAAGAATCATATGCTGCAAATGATGACATCATCACTGATGACGTGGGCGAATCTTTAGCCATGACGTCACATACTTCATTGGTGACGTCACTCTTGCTGACGCCATTGGTGACGTCACTTCTGCTGGCGTCACCATTGGTCAATTTCGACCCAATTTTCTTCTTTGCGTTCCCGGTGTTTTGATGGATAACACTGACAGAGCAAAACTTCGCTCCAACCAGAGTTGAGGCAAAGGGAATTTTCGACAAGATTTTGTAGCTCGGCTGATCCATCTCTGAGGCGTGTATCTCTCCTGACGCGGCTAGAGAGTCTGGGACTTCGTCGTAGACATCCACACGCTGCAACTTCTGAAGCGTGTTGTGTAACAATTGGATGAAATGAAGAACCGCGGACATCTTCCCCACCTGTTATTGTACAACACAAATCTATCAGCTTTGTGGAAACAGCGCGATAGCCTCGCGATTATTGTGTATAAACACGGGGTGTACGAATGACCGCTGGGACCAACGGTCGCAGGCACATTTTAAAAACACTACTTGCAGGCACGTTTTGTTAAACGTTTGAAACCAGAAGTTAAAAAATAAATTTTATAAGGCACATTTTCAAATAATTCTCGCGGTCGCAGGCACACAAAAAGTTAACGAGCCCTGGTTTTCAGTAAGCGTTAAGAGGCACTGCATGCTGGTCAACTTCAAAACTGTTGAGAAGGGAAATTTATTGCAATGCATGGCCATTAAATGCAAGGCAACTATAAACTACATATAATGAAAGAGTTCATATTATTCTCTATATCTTGATCACTGCAGTTGACTACGCCACCTGACTCTAACTACGATAAGGCGTGGCAAGACACAGTAGTTAACAACGCAATCACAATGCTCACCTGAGGAGGCCCGCTGAACAAAAAGCACGCAGGGTAAAATTTCATTGGACTTGTATCAAGAAAAGTTTTGTCTTTTCCCATGCGAGAGAAATTTTCTATAACACGAACAAAGTAATATTTTAACGACACAGTTATTTTTTTCGTATAATAAAATAAAATATTTAAAAAAAAACGTATTATTATTATTCGTCACGATTACCTCTAGGTTTTGTCCAGCGGCGATAATATTTGGATTGCTCCGAGGGAAGACCACTGACCAACGCTGGTCTTTGATCGCTGTTCCAAGCAGTGGCTGGATCTGGACCAAGACTGAGATTCTTGGGACATCCAAAGAAATCTTTTTTAAGTGTGCTAAAGTAACAAAATTGAATGCTTAATTAAACATGTTTTCGCTGGCCACCCTGGATTAAATAAATGAAAGCAGTCTCTGAAAGAATCGGATTTAAGTCGCAACTTCCTTTTGTACTGTACAGTAAAAATCTCACAGCTCGTCAACAACTGGCAACAAGCAGTACAAACACATTTTGTTGACAAGCTGTGAGATTTTTATCATCTTGTTATCATCTATTTTTATAATTTTTATCATTTTGTTATCATCTTGTAACAAGGTTGATGAGGCCAACAGACTCGCAACAAGTTGTTCCAACAAGTCTGATATCCTCTGCACGTAACAAGTTGGTAACAAGTTGATGAGAACAAGCTCGTAGCAACTTGTTACGAACAGCCTGTATTAGTTGTGTCGGAACAACTTGTAGCAAGTTTGTTACTTTCATCAACCTTGTGACAAGGTGATAACAAATTGTTCCAGACTTGTCACAACAACTGGGGGGAAAGGCGCAGATAGATCTTCGCATTTCTTTACCTGTATGCTGCCCGGGAAACCAGTAAAACCGGTAATGGATAACTGGAACAAAACTGGTTTCTGCTATCTCCTTCAGCGTCGGAAACATCGCGTTCATGATCACTACCGTCAGCGGAACTTCTCGCATTGGCCTGGGAACTAGTGCCCAAGCCACTATTGATGTAACGCGAGACGGCATTAAATTCGAGTTCCAAACTTGACCTAAACGAACAGTGTTCATCCAACAGTCGAAAGTCGCAGTACTTCAAAGATCTAAAGAGAAAAAAACGAGTTGCTTGCAGACGCTGTTTGAGTTTATTGAGTTTCTCATTCATTGGTGAGCGGATTTCCCAACAGACTATTGCCAATTGATAGGGGATCCGAGGTACCTACGATTTTAACGTCCTTATCCGAGAAGATGCGAAAGTCTAACCATTTACTGATGTCCCTAGACCCCCATACCACCACAAAACCTCACAAAAATAGAATGTACAGGCATGGTGCCTTGTAAAGCCAGTTGAAAATTAAAACTTAGATTTGACATCTTTTCAAAATTTCAATTTCCTCCATATCATTTACCTGGGGTAAGTGTCGCCATTTCTCTCCTTACCGCTGACCACAACAATGCATGGCAGATCAAGTAAATCTTCGTAACATGTCGGATGCCAGTCGGCATTTGTCGTATTGTCCGCGCCTAAATAAGATAATTGTACGTGAGTAAGATTGCAGATTCTATAAATGTATAAAATAGAGACATTTAGATTTTTCCATGATGTTAAACCTCCAACCGTAAACCGCGGTTTGTAGTTTGACACGTCTCCGTTTAACGCGTATTCAGGTTTAGTTTGAAAAATATTTGGATAATTTTATAAAGAAATGTTATCCAAATATTTATATCCATACCTTTCGTGTTCCTCCATGCTCGTAGTCTGTGAAGAAAATGTTCCTCAATTTCTAAATCAGACTCGCCATCATCAAGAATGATTGTAAAACGATATTGAAAACCAACCCTATGAAGCAGACGATAGGTAGGTTATATTCACAAATTCGCAAATTAAAGAGATGTTCGTATTTATAGAGCGAACACATTATGCTAAATGTTTGCCATTATTTGCAAACCAACAAATGGTCAAAACAAAAACGCGAGGGAGAACTCTCATCAACTCCCGTCATCGTTTGACCGAGGCTTAACTTTAGCGCTACCCTTTGGAACCTTGGTAACAAAATAATCCTCACCTGTCCCGTGTATCCTTCAGTTTCCCGTATGCCCACGCAGCGAGAACATGATTTGGAATGCGCAATACCAACATAGATCCTCGACCAACCGTACTCAATAAAGGACATTCAATAATATCCCTGACGACCTGCAGTGTCTTGAAGGTACAGTGAGGTTCAATAGACCGCATCCCAGCCGACCACATGATGGCCGTAGTGTAATGGTGTACCAATACGTAACAACGGACAATATTTGAGGGCACTGTAGTGAGGACATTTGCACGTAGTACCATAAACTCGAATTCATCGTCTTCACGGATCAAAGGTATTTGATGCGTCCAACTTAAGGTCTCAATGTACTCTGGCATCCCAAAGTGTACCAGATTACCCTCGTTCTTTAGTAGTTTCTGATCTGACATAGAAACTGGACCTATGAGACGAAAATATAGTTAAACGTGAATTTTGGTATGTGCAATAGACAGATTCGAAAATGATTGTCATTCTTTTTTCTTTGGAAGTTCATTTCAACCGAGGTAGTCACTGCCGCCTTATAGAATACTTCAAGACTGTGAGTTTTATGTTGAAAAATTGTTTATTAGCCTGGTAATATATAAAATATAAGCAGCTATTTTGCAGCTATTGTACATACCTACAAAATGTCCTGGATCACTCCAGAATACTTCATTATCCGGTCGAATTCTTGACTGACAGGTTTCAAACATGTAAGGAACAGGTGTGACCAGTATAATGAGCGTGTTTGGCAAGCGAGACAATTCTTGAAAAGATGGCAAACTTGTGGCGACTTCCGGCGTGAAATACCTGTGAGCTTCGTCACAGACCAACACAAACAGAACATCTTGACAAGATTTCGCATTCGTAAGGAAATCTTTCATTCGTTGCTTCGTTTCCTCCGAACCGTCGTTCCTGAAATAAATTGAAATTTTTACTATTAGTACTTTCTTAGTAAGCCGCGTACAGTCAACAAGTTTCCCTTGACAACTTTACTTTCTCGTGTGTACAGTCAACAAGTTTTCCTTGACAAGTTTACTTTCTCGTGTGTACAGTCAACAAGTTTCCCTTCACAAGTTTACTTTCTCGTGTGTACAGTCAAGTAAGTTTTCCTTGCGAAGTTTTTTTGTTTGCCGAAACCATAGAAGTATTCCTTGTACACTTGTCAAGTTTTCCTTGGCGGTCATACACACGAACAAATTTTCCTTCTCCAAAAGCTGGCACGACTAGTTTTGGAACAAGACTCCTTCACAAGGAAAAGTTGTCAATTTTTTCGCCGCACACACGAGCAAATAAAATTTGTCCAGGAAAACTTTTCAGTTTCTCAATGGGAGGGATGAGGCTTGAAGGAAAGGGAACCTAACTGAATGGCGACAGGTTATGGCGATATCTCTAATGGCAATGGTGCAAGAAAAAATCACGAGATATGACCTTTGCGACTAACGCCTGTATTCTAAAAGCTCATTCCACTCAAAGAGTGGAGGTTCAATCTGAGCTTCCCTTGAGTGTCAGTGCTGTTTTTGAATAGCTGGAGGGTTAGTGTCGTACCTTACCATGTGACTACTCACCCTCTAGCTATTCAAAAACAGCATTGACACTCAAGGGAAGCTCAGATTGAACCTCCACTCATTGAGTGTGAGTGAGCTTTTAGAATACAGGCGTTACAGAGGGCGAACTTACTGGATGACATGCTCCGTAGAGAAGCCAGTGTCTTTTGATTGCGTCGGAGGACTGAGTCCGAGTTCAAGGAGAACATTTGACCTCTCTACTTGATGTAAGATTTGATAAAAGTAGGACTGTGATGGTGGAATAACAACAGTGAACTCGACTGAGGAGAAATGGCGTAAATCATATGATGGCGCTCCGTCTTTTGACGTCAACACACACGACAGCAAATGATGCGCAGACGCAACTTGTGGCGCGTGGAGGTCATGTTCTGGAGCCTTGAAACTAGTCCTCAGGCTCATCTTTGGCACCATGCACGCGGCCTCTTTCTCACTCGCTTTAAGGATCGAGCTTCCGTTAAAAGGTAAAAAGACGAGTTTCGTTTTGACCATGGATTGTTCAACTTGTTTCATGAGATTGTCAATGGCCGCGTTCACCATCAGATACGCTCTGTTCAGAGAACTGACAAACTCCTCTAACTGAACTGACGTTAGTAAACTGGAGTGTTCATTGAGCAGTCTTTCTTGGATAAATTTTGATTGATTCACACCTGAAAATACAATAGAATACAATAAAATACAATTCCAGGTAGTTCATACACAAACCACGACAGTCTATTATAGAATACTACCTATACTCGACCCTCGTGTTCCAAGCACTGTTTCTGTACTACACTTACCGGTGACAAGAATGCAAAACTCAGGGCTTTGAGCAGGAGGACTGGAGACGAGTAGTAAATAATGTGGTACTTGTAGCTTGGTCTCCCTGTGTTGATTGTGTTTTGATATTTGGTACAGGAAACCCAAGCCCTTGCTGATTGCGTCATTCAAAGATAATACAGATGAGACGAGCTTGACGGAGCCTTTGGATGGCAAGGTAGCCACGCTTGTGAAATGAACCAAATTTGTTGAATCTGTTGAAGAAAAATTAATAGAAGCTCCTATTTTGGTATAACCCATTATTATTAAAAATTATTAACATACTTAAACAACTCTGTCGTTTATGCACGACCATGTATGGTATGGTATGGTATGGAATGGTATGGCATGGTATGGTATGGTATGGTATGGCATGGTATGGTATGGTATGGTATGGTATGGTATGGAATGGTGTAGTATGGTGTGGTATGATGTGGTGTGGTATGGTGTAGTATGGTTGGTGTAGTATGGTATGGTATGGTATGGTATGGTGTAGTATGGAATGGTATGGTATGGAATGGTGTAGTATGGTATGGTATGGTATGGCATTGAATGGTGTGGTATTGTATGGTGTGGTATGATATGGTGTATTGTATGGTATGGTATGGTATGGTATGGTATGGTATGGTATGGTATGGTATAGTATGGCATGGTATGGTATGGTATGGAATGGTGTAGTATGGTATGGTGTGGAATGGTGTAGTATGGTATTGTATGGAATGGTGTAGTATGGTATGGCATGGAATGGTGTAGTATGGTATGGTATGGTATGGTATGGTATGGTATGGAATGGTGTAGTATGGTATGGTATGGTATGGTATGGCATTGAATGGTGTGGTATGGTATGGTGTGGAATGGTGTAGTATGGTATGGTGTGGAATGGTGTAGTATGGTATTGTATGGAATGGTGTAGTATGGTATGGAATGGTGTAGTATGGTATGGTATGGTATGGAATGGTGTAGTATGGTATGGTATGGCATTGAATGGTGTGGTATTGTATGGTGTGGTATGGAATGGTATTGTGTGGTATTGTATGGTATGGTATGATATGGTGTATGGTATGGTATGGTATATGGTGTAGTATGGTATTGTATGGTACTGTATGGTATGATATGGTGTATGGTATGGTATGATATGGTGTAGTATGGTATGGTATGGTGTGTTATGGTATGGTATGGTATGGTATAATAGGCTATACTACGCTATGCTATGCTATGCTATCAGCTATGCTGTGGTAAGGTAAGGTATTTTGTTGTATGGTCCTTTATGGTATGGTATTTTTTGGTATTGTATAGTATGGTATTTCAGTACAAGCGAGGATTGTTTACCTATGGTAAGAAAGAAAGGCTGGATGGTAGAATTTTCTTGATGTGTTTGCCAAAACAGTTCCTTGCTGTTCTGAATGAGTTGATGAATCTCGTCTTTGCATATCGTCGCATTCTCGGGGAGCGTCGAGAGGTATTGCGCAATCAAGATGATGACGACATTCGCTGAGAGTTGTGGTAGGGTGAAACCGCTGGACGGTGAGCTTGAAGGCCTGACATCTGCCGGATGATTGAACGTACCACGTGATTGATGGCTTGAGTGAGGCGGCGATTGAAATGGTCTGGATTGGCCACGACCTGGAGTAGAGAAGATTCGAAAATTCGTATGAAAGGACGGGATAAAGTTGCAGCAAAATCTTATAACATGTAGCCACAGATTAAGTATGATCAAATGTGTAACTTAATAGGACTTCGCGTCCTCAAATTTCCCTAGATGTACACGTCATGCTCACGCCATGACACTTGCTGAAAAACACGAACTTTTGCACTTTACTGCGGCCTTTTTGGATCGACATTTTTGGACTAAACAATCAATGTAGAATGTTTAAAGTTGTTGAAAGCAATTAAAGTTGTTGAAAAGGTGTTGAAAGCATTTTTGAAAGCAATGACGTACTAAACTTTTTTACTGAAGTTACACATCTGTTCTTAATCTGTGGTATGACAGAGACTGAATGAATTACTGTAAAAGACGCATATCAAACTATAGCCTGCGAACAGGCTCTCAAGCTGAATTGAGAGCCTGCATCGATGACTAATGAATTTGAATATCTGCGTCTCAAATCGTGACGCGAAATTCTCATTGGTCAGATGCTATAATTTATATGTTTCCGCTGAGCTCTATGTATGTCAACTGCTGAAGCACTATGCATAAAAAAACACATTAGCTGATCAAATTGGTCTTGGCCATCTTATCTCAAAGCACAAAATGTTCTGTTTTGAGAAAACAGTATTTAAAACATTTAAACTTTTGCTTGAATATCTTATATTTCGAAAAATAGTATACACTGTACGGTCTAAATTTAGTTTGCACGGTCTAAATTTAGTTTGCACGGTCTAAATTTAGTTTGCACGAAAGTTGTAAACAACACCATATAAGGATAGACATTCCATATTTGGAAAAACGAACGTTACGGGGCAGATATTCAAATTCATTAGTCATCGATGCAGGCTCTCAATTCAGCTTGAGAGCCTGTTCGCAGGCTAATCAAACTATCCAAATGTTCAATCATTCATTCGTGAATATTCTCAGAAAACTTGGGAATCCCGCTTTGAAAACAGACATAAAGTCGACAATAGGGAGCGACATTTTTGTTAACAGGAACGTCAGATTGCCGGGGGATTAAAAACTTTGTTTGTGTCACTTTGTAGTAATCTTTAACACAAATGACAAAATATAAGATTTTTAAAGTCTTTTGCTTCCTTACACGAGCGCTATGATGCAAAATATCGCGGTAAAAATAACCATTTTTGAGCCGAAAGTGGTTATTTTTAACGCGCGTAATACTAAAATACTGAAAAGTTGCTAATTTCACAGGGTTATATTTTCCGTATTTTACAACATTTCGCAACCAAACTTTGCAATTTTACTAATTTTAGGATGCTCTTTTGAGCTATAATGATATATTTCGTCTTTCTTGTCTCGATAAAAAATTAGTCGATAACTGGAATTGTGTATTGGTTCTACCAATTTTCGGATGGCGTCCATGTTGACAAAAAAGGTCGCTTCAGTAATGAAACGCTGATTCCTTACTTGCTGACGCAGGTCTCTTCAAGAACTGGAAGCAATCCAGCAACATATCGGATACGATAATTTCTTTGTAAGAGCTGATGAAATGTGGTGGTGTGTTAGGATAACCAAGTATTAGGACGGGTCTCACGCCACAAACTGTCTCGAGCCAAGCGTGAGGTGGAAACATCTCTTCTAGAAAAATGACAGTTCACAATCATGTTACAATCTAATGACACGCAAGAACTCCCTTTACAAATACCAAGTTCTGCCATTTGAAAAGGGAGTTCTGGGTTACAAATGCCAGAACTCCCTTTTCAAATGGCAGAACAAGGTCTTCAAATGCTAGAACTCCCTTTTCAAACGCCAGAACTCCCTTTACAAATGCCAGAACTTGGTTTTCAAATTCCAGAACTACCTTTTCAAACGCCAGGACTCCCTTTACATATGCCAGAACGCCCTTTTCAAATGGCAGAAATTGGTTTTCAAACGCCAGAACTACCTTTTCAAACGCCAGAACTCCGTTTTCAAACGCCAGAACAAATGGCAGAACTTGGTACAAATGCCAGAACTACCTTTTCAAACACCAGAACTCCCTTTACAAATGCCAGTACTCATATCATTACCATATCTTTATAGACTACGAGAGAATCGTAAAAGAACTAACTAACCCTTGGAGACCTCTCAAGGCGGTATATTTATGCGTTGGACAAAGCGAGGCATGTCAGGAGGAATTTCAGAATGTAGTTTAATTAACTGACCTTCTTTGCCGTCAAATTCTTCTCGGCTTCGTTTCAGCATGGGTGGAGTGACGGAGGGATCAAACGACGAGCCACTCTCGCAAGAGGACTGTGAACTAGTCGAAGATCTTCCTTCTCTGATTGGATGATGACTTCCACCAATCATGGGAAGGTATGACGTAGAGGCAGGGCTCTTGTGTGATGACGCGTTATTCTCGATCGCTGATTGGAAGCCCGGTGGAAAAGGAAATGTTCTTTTCCGAGGAGTATCTGCTACAGCGTGAAATAAAATTGCGGAATCAATCAAAGTATAAACGAATTTTACTCATCAGAGGTAAGGTCGAGACACACCGGACACGATTCGACAACGCGGCGTGATTTTTCACTTTTTGAAAGTTAATAAAACAGTCAGTGAAAGGAAATTTTAAAAGATATGTAGACCAAATAACTCAAAATGTTATAACGCTTCTAAATACTGGAAAAACCTGGATCACAGTGAAAATCGAAAAATCGTGCCGCGTTATCGAATCGCGTCCGGTGTGTCCACCGATCTATTCGCTCAGTGGGTGTGTCTCGGTCTGGAGAAATGATGTGAATACACTTTACCGTTTATTGCCAGGTTCGCCTCGTTTCCATATTTGCCTGTTTTTGACAAATTGGAGCATTAGGGTGAAATGCAACTTAATGGGTAAAATAATTTGGTACAAATAAAAAATCTCACAACTTGTCAACAAGATGTGTTTGCACCGGGCTTGTAGCAAACTTGTCAACAAGTTGTAACAATGCTGTTATTTTATCAAGTTGCTACAAGGTTGTCACTCACAACTTGCTGACAAATTGTTGAATTGCAGGATGATAACAAGTTGTTGGAACAAGTCTGTTGAGCTCAACAACCTTGTAGCAAGTTGTCAACAAGCTGGGAACAAGCAGTGCGAACACACCCTGTTGACAAGTTGTTGGAACAGCATTGCTACAAGTCTGCTGCAGGTTTGTTACAACTTGTGTGCGTTTTGACGTGTGTATTAGAGAGAGTAAAATATCCCAGAGTAGGGCAAAATTTGGGCACATTACAACTCAATTGATTCAAACACGAAACATACGTACATATTCCTCTCCAAAGGATACGAGGTCCTCGACACAGGCGACCCAAATTATCTCTGACGATATAAAACTTGAGATGCTTTTGTTTCTTGGGTTGTGTTGCAAGCACAAGATTGATGTGGGTTGCAAACTCTGTGAAGTAGCGGAAGTGAGCATCTCCACACCCAACACAGCAACCTGAAAATCCCAGAACTGTAGGAGTGCTGCTGTCACATGGCAGGAATCTCTTGTTGACAGCTGTGACCAGGATAGTTTTACCAAGTAATGGTGACTTGGCACCAGCCATGACCATGCCTGATGGTACCTCGATCTCAAGGCCATGCTGTTCCAAGTGACTGAGGGATATAGGTTTGCCATTCACACAGTAGCCAGGTCGCTTGAAGTTGCCATCTTGTGATGTGGCTGCATGAGAGTCTGTCGCCATGGGAACAACCTCAAGACTATTTGATTCCAGCATACTTCCTGAAAAGGCCAAGGAAGTTAGTTGCGGGACTAAATGAAATCTAGGTGGGATGGATGGCTGGACTCCCTACCTCCCCCCCCCCCTTTATTTGGGGCTGGCTATGCCCCTGACCTTCCAGGTTTAATTTAAGCATAATTGAGTGTATGGGGTGAATTTTCCCTGGTTCACTGTGTTCCTTCACATAATAAATGTGTACCAATCCAGGAATAAAAAAATATGTGCCCATTTATGTAGAGTTATGGAATTATAATTGCACTTCAGATATTGGGTGTCATGAAGAAACAAAATGTCAGGGCCTTAAATTCACACAAACCAAGAATTCTCATCTCACAAAAAAATCTAACGATATATTTAAACTAAAATTAAAATTGATCAATCATAATCATTCTTTTTGATGCAAAAAATCAGAACATTTTATCAAATTGTCTCTGAGTTATTGCCATTTCAGTGATTGCCTTTGAATTTAATGAAGAATTCCCCATATTGCTTGCAACTTCGGGGGGAGGAAACTTTACTACAGCCTGCGACTTAATGAGTTAAGAAAATGCCAGTGAAATAAAAGAAAATGATCAACATTACCCGATGTAACAGGAAGTCTTGGATGTTGAAGAGTATGTTGTTCAGAATCACTTTGGTACTGCGAGGATTGACTTGGCGCAGGCCAACACATTGAGTAGATCTGATCTGCCATTATGTGTTGGCTACAATATCATTTTCGTTCCCTGAAATAAAGTGGTGGCGCAGTCATCAGAATGAGCTCCTTTCACCTTTGAGAAAGTGGGTTTGCTACGGACTCATGTGAAAAGAGTCTGTCAATGCTCTGCCGAAAGTCGTGGGTTTGCTCCGAGCAGGGAGGGTTAGGATAAGTAAGTGTATGGTACTCAATGTAATTGGTCTCTGAAAAGCCCTGATGGGGAATGAGCTGAATAATATACTGTATGTATGTAAATGATAATGATTATGCCCATCACATCAGACCTTAACACAAGGAGATTTTGGTTTTAGCCTTTTAAAAACCAGGAAAGCAAAAGTCATATGCAATGTTTAACTCATTGAGTTCCAGGACTCTCCCCTTGACAAGTAAAATTGTCTGGTGTTAGACAGAGAAAAATAATCTGGCATTTGACAGAGTAAAATAATAAAGTACAGTAACTTAATTGGTTAATGCAGCACTATGAAAAGTTACTGTAGCTTTCCCCTTCAGTTAAAGTGTGTACAACCCCCTTAAGAGGCTCAGAGGCATGCATTGCCACCCCACCCCCCTGGAAAGGGTAATTGCATATGAAAAACTGCCCCCCCCCCATCCCACCCCAAATCAAAATGTATACAACCCCCAAGGATGTAAAAAGGTTTGCTTCCCTTGGAAAAAAGGAGTTCCCTCCCCCTTCTAAAGTTTCTTTTAGTTTACACAATCATCACCCCCCCCTCCAAAAAAATTATTTGGCACACCCCTTAGAAAAGAATGTTTACTTGAATATGAAAGGTGCAATATCACTAAGAATGAAAAGATAATGCAAGGAACTCTAAGTATGAATAAAAGCTCTTAGAGATTAACATTATAAGGATATTGGCCTCAGTATTGCAATATCATTGATGAGTTGTGATGCATTGAATACTACCATCAGGATCATTTTAAAACCACGTTTTCACAGCAAAAAAACTATCAGGTTTCTTAAAACGAACCAGAATGTACAAAAGATGATATAGAGCATGAACTGTTGCAAAATATTTACCTGTTTCCCAACATATAGCCCGCTCAAGAGATTGGCAATATTACGCTCTGCCAAAATTAGATACTTGAAAGCGAAATGCCAAAAATTTACTCAAGCAAAATATCGAAAAGAAATTGTGCCAGGTCTAAAATAACTTCCCAGAAAACTGAAATATGGCTCAAAGCGTAACCTGAGGTATAATTGCGTTAAATGACATGTAAAAAATAAGATTACGAAGTCCACATAAAGGTCGGTCGAGTCCAAAATCAGACGAAAACTCGCCCGCCGGTTCCAATAAATTTATCCTCGAATTCGTTATTCGGTTTCGTGCGAGCTTCTCAACTCGAAAAGCAAATTCATTCGGAAACCGTTTCGAATTCATCTAGCTTTTTGTGAAGAACGCCCAAAATAAAAGCATTCGGTCTAACGGAGTTATGCCTTTCAAATACTTTGAAATATATCAGTATTATACCATATTGCGGCATCGTACGGCTATGTTTGTCCAGCTATGATGGCCTGTCCTATGCCTAAGTTTCGCGCCATCAAAATAGGTTCGAACTAGAGTTCTGTTAACTAAACACAGTGAAAATATTCTGTATTTCAACATTGCTTTTAAGATATTCAGTCGTGAAACAACTGCTGTTTTATTGCAAGGGCCGAAGACGATATTCGCAAACACGATATCCACTGCAACAACGCGACATCAGGCCGCCGTATAGACGTTTACTTTCGACACATGAGGAAATCTATTTTCTCTTCTGCTCATGAACTACGATAATATTTCTAATCCACACTACAAATATTCAATATTTTGGTCTGCTAAAACTGTATTTAACATACTTTGAGTAAAACTATCGAACAAGGAAACTATTCGCGTGTAATATTCAAGCTAGCTGTATATCGCGCTTCGGTTCAGCAATATTTTGCACATGTCAACAACATAGAACTTTACTTTATCCATGAGACGTTCCAAAGACCGCTTTCAAATTTAAAAAAAAACTTGAACAAGGAACTAGAATACGCTACAAATAACATCGTAAGCTAACTATACCCTCAATTCAATATTTGGTTAAGTTAAAAGCTTGTAAGTTGGTCTAACATATTGAGACCCAAAGCGGTCCTTGTTGTCCTTTGTCCTGTCACAACACGGCGCCGTGCGAAATATTTTGTTCAAACTTCGCGTTATTTCACGGCAAATTGAAAACAAATCGTCTCCTAGATCAACTATATTGCTAATACTTACAAAATTGGTTTTCAAGTACTCCTGGACTGAGTGTGGTCTGCCAAAAGCGGCCAAAAGTTCGACATAAACAACGGATTTCAAAATATACAGTCCGTTCGTCCATTAATTTCGGCCTGACCTTGAGACAGGCGCGATGCAGGGTACACGGCCAAATCGGCGGTCTCGAATTTGATTGGCTAATTCCACGTATTGGCCGTACCACAAGGGATAATATTCCATATGGAACAGGTCATTATCTTGTGTTATGCATAAAATCAGGCATAAAATATTAAAATATGATTGGCAATTCGCAAGGAAGCATGCCAACGTCGAATATAGCAAAATTAAAAATATCGTAACAGCTAAATGAGAGTTGACAAGCGAGAGTTTGCCTGGGAGTTGCAAATCTCGCAAAGTAATATTCGGAACAGTATTCACAAATTGTATTCACGCAAAAAATGAAAGTTGGTAGTCACGGGTCCTTGGTTAGCTGTTCTTAATGCTTTCCCAACACTATCATGTATTCTATTTAAGTTAAAACATTGTTGGAACACTCTGATCAAACCTTTATTTTGTTAATCTAGACGGCCCCGTACCAATGCGTGACTGCCAGTCTCATCAACTATCACTTTCGTTGCTCTCCAAGAATGAAACTGGAAAGCTGGATGTTCCAGCCGCAATTGATCGTACAAAATCCACGCGTCAACAGCTGGCGAATTTGCGTCAAACTTTACAATAACAAATTTATTTTGCTCGCGTTACAACCTTGTGTCGTCAACCTTGTAATATTCTTGTTATATCATGACTGTATCAGACTTGTTAGAACAACCTTGTAACAAGTTTGATAATGCCATCAAGCTTGTTACAAGTTTGTTAGCAGCTTGTTACAAACTTGTTACAACAACTGGGAACAAGCAGTGCGAACACAACTTGTCGACAGCTTGAGAACAGACTTGTAACAACTTGTTTGCAGACATGTAACAACTTCTGCATTTTTACTTGTGTAGAATATTATTGGATAATATCGCAAAGAATGCAAAAGCACGGTTTCGATTTTAAGAACACTACATTAGTATTCAGCCTGCATCACCTGTCCAACCCTCAAATTTTCGGGCGTCTGATTTCGCAGAAATGATAAATAGTTTCAATTTTGTATTCAATTTGCGACATTCATAACTCATAAGTATGTATGCCGACCTACTTTTATATATTTTGTCATTCTGAGAGCAAGATTGGGTAATTGAATAGAAGAATTTATTAATTTCTATCAAGATGTGTAATATAAGCGATATTAAACATAATAACTTTACAGGTAAGAACACAAGAAATGAATGACAGTATGTATAATTTTTAACCATTGTGAGCAAACGTGATCACGGAGCATTTTCAGTTTTACAATGGCAATTTTTCAAATTCCTACTTGTGTAAAAATTGTGACTGCAATTATTTGGCTGAAAGCTAGCATAAGTGCAATATAATTTGCGACTGCATTGCCGAATGCTGTTGCTGTAAATATTGCCAAATTAATGCCAGTGCAATAGACTAAAAGTTTAATTAAAAAAGTTCTAAAAAGTCCAAAGGTTTAAAAAATTTCTGCTGCGTCTACATTTAGGCGAACATTTCGTCAAGCATTTCGACTTCATCTCTTCTCTTGAACGGCAATTGCAAGCCTCTTGCGTTCAAAATGCACAGATCTTAATATCTCAAACGACAAGCGTGTTCACAGCCAAATTGGTTGATCTATTAAATGTACCAGCTGGTGGATTTGTATGGTAACAAATTAACAGTGGCAAAGCTAGCCATAGCGCCAGGTCATACTGTGCAAATTTTTAATGATTTATTAGTATAGCATGACCAGAGTTGCCAAGGCTAGCTTCACCACTACGAATTAATGGAACGTATCATCCGTTTACTTGGCAAAACTTTGCCCAGATCTTTGGTAAGACCGGATCTTTGCATGATTTGGCCAACTAGCTTACAAAAATATTTGCAGTGGTACATCTATGCACTGTGATTTAGGTAACAGTCAAGTTGATCGCTGGTAAAACTGTAAACGTTCTTCCTTTATAGAATTTAACGATGCCGAAGTACAGGTGGCTGCCTCGCTATTTTGGGTAGATGGATGTCTCTGTGTTTTGTTTGCTCTGCTGACACACTTTAACTACACAAGGTTTGCCTAAAAGCTAGTTCAAATGAACATTGCCCTTATCAAGGGCTTGTTCACATTGACACATGGAAAGTATAGGCAATGATAACATTATAATCAAGAATTTCTGTGTTTTAATTTGGTGTGATTATTTTCCTGCACAGAGTGACAGTTCTAAACTATTCAGTATGTACACCAGCGACATCAAATATGCAGTGGATATGGTTTTTTATCTTTACTGCACTGAGGTAACAATAAACATTATTATATATCAATAGTCAAAGTCGCATTTTTCTAGTGTTTTATTGGTTGAGAGCATATCATGTGAGAGTGACGAAATTAGGCTGTCTCCCTCGCAACAGCGCGACAGGGAGATAATACGTTATCGACCGGCGAATAACAAAAAAAATCACGTGCGCCATCACATGAAGATGCGACCTTTGGACATGCCTAGTACGTAATTAAAACTTTCGCTTTAAGTAACTGCAGTGTGGCCAGTGTTTAATATAACGTTTTAACAATAAAATATTTCATGTATTTACGTTCATTTGTTCTTTAATTCGTTGTTTCTTTGACTATTGATATATAATAAAACACTTATTTACTGAGACCTCGGGAAAGCAGTGTGTTTTGTGGACCCTCGACCGTCGATGTTTCCCTCGGCTTCGCCTCGGGAAACATCGACGGTCTCGGGTCCACAAAACACACTGTTTCCCTCGGTCTCAGTAAATAAGTGATAATTAACTACTTTTTGTTAAAGGTGATCTACAGTCCGATCTGCGCATCAGTGCACAAAGGAGCCCACTTTTTATGATACAAACAGTTTAACTATGTTTTGGGTTCTTGCAAAGCCTGATTGTTGTTTCTTGATCATTTATTATTCTCTAGAAGCTTGAAAATATAAATAGTTGTCGAATAAAGCTCAATATTTTGGATGCAAAAATGTAAACAAAGGCTTTGTTTACATACAGACTGTAGATCACCTTTAAGGGTGCTGATATATATTGATGTGATTGGCCAATTAACCAATCTGCCGATTATTGGCTTCTACCAATTAATTTCCAATTATTGGCTCATCCCTAACTTTTGCTGTGTTTCTACTAGTAGATAGCTCTGTTATCATGGCATTCTGCTTTTAAACTGGTTTCAAAACTTTTTTTTATTATCAAGTTCAATTATGAGTGGTCTAAACTTGTGGCTTAATAGAGAATTAAACAAACTGTACCGGTACCCAGTGATAACTGGTAAGTTACAGTGCTTAGATGCATGAAAATATTTCCAACTAACCAGAGAAGACATAGTCACAGAATAAAGACATACAGAAGTGTAACTTCCATTACAAAACCGTAAGGCCTTTTTTACCGAAATAGCTGGCGGCCATGTTCTTAGCAAGTGCCCTAAAGAGAGGCATTCACCCCCCTGGAATATTAAATTTTCAACATGTTTTCAGGGGAGTGACTGCCTCTCTTTAGGGCACTTGCTAAGAACATGGCGGACTGAAAAAATCCCTTACGCACTTTTAATAAGAAGATACACTTCTGTATGTCTTTATTCTGTGACATAGTACTTCCGTTGTAGTGTTGCCTGCTGGGATACATGTATGCATAGTGTACCTATTTTTATGTTCAAGTGCATTTATATTCAAGAAATAGCTTTTAATTGTTTTCTTTAAACTGTACCAAGAATTATGAAGCTTTTGTTGCATTTACAACAACCACAATCGAAAAAAGAAAGATATTACTTCCAGATAGTATGCTTCCTAAAGTAAAAATGCACAAGTTAATTGTAACAAACCTGCAGCAGACTTGTAGCAATGCTGTTCCACAAACTTGTCAACAGGATGTGTTCGCACTGCTTGTACCCAGCTTGTCAACAACTTGTTACAAGGTTGTTGAGCTTACCAGACTTGTTAGAAGTTGTAATTAGTGACAACCTTGTAGCAACTTGATAATATAACAACATTGTTAGTTTTGTTACAACTTGTTGACAAGCTTGCTACAAGCCTGTTACAAAAACATCGTGTCAACAAGTTGTGCAATTTTTACATGACAGTATATTTTTTGCTAAAAGCATTGAGACATTTTACAATGATGTTTATAATCATTTTTAAAACATTAATTTATTTTACAGGTTGGTTTGCAAATCTGTTTAGTGTAAGTTATATAATCATGTGTCAAGCATATCAATTTATTATTATTATTGACTCGAATTAAACAATTGTTGTTGATGTACAGGTTTATTTGTTTAAAATCTTGTAATTACCATGTTTAATTAACATCTTGTAATTACCATCTTGTAAAGTTTTGTAATTACCATGCAGATATTGTCATTGGTTTTTGCTGTTAAGTATCAGTGGAAATGCAGAGAGGAAGGTTAGATATGAGATGTTTCTCACTTTCTTGTCATCAAAGTGAATTTAATATGCAGATGCATGGGGAGTTGTCTCTATGACACATAGTTAACAGATGCTAGGCCAAAAAACAAAATAACTTTAACCATTAATATGCAAACTATTCCCAAAATTGTATTGCACTAAAAAGAGTAGAATAATAAAAGTAATAAAGTAGGGCACATTGGGGTACATTGCAACTTAATGGGTTAACAATTGCAGGACACATTAGCAGTGGAAGATCTGCCTGGAGTAAAATCGTCTGGCATATATAGGACAAAGTAAAATATAACAAAGTAGGTGCATTTTGGGGGCATTGCAATTGAAAATCTGATAAACATTTCTTACTGCACTCTGTATTAAAATTATGATTACCCACACTCCCACAGTCAAGGAAACTTTTCAGCTTGCCCCGTGTGGACTCAGAGACAACATCACAAACATATATCTTCACCTGAGTGCAACACCAGAAACAGAAACATTCAGGAGCGGTAAATGTTCAAAACATTTCTGATTTTCAGCGTACAATGACATGACGACTACGAGCGTGGAAGAAACGACACCTATTCTGTTTCAACAGAATGGAATGAATGTTTTCTTGGTGAGTCATCAAGTCAATACTGTTGGTCCAAAAATGTGAGGGGATTCAATGATTATAGGGTTAGGGTTCTGGTCTGTTTCCCGCACCATATCTTGATTATAGCTACATATTTTAGGTGAAGTAATAGCTGCACAATACAATATAATATCAATAGACACATGTGACATGGATTTATTATTCTGCTCTAGAGACCATCTAAGGCTGATGTATTCTTTGTGGGACTGTTTTTACTTTCTGCTGGATTTTTTATCGCGGCTTGGATAGAGCCAATAGAGGACAAGTATTACATTCTTTTTTTGAGTAGCTTCAATAATCTCTCGCTTCATGAGAATCTCACTTCAGTACCTTTCTTTAGATATATATAATGCTCATCTTCTTTTAATACTGTACATGAGTAAAAATCTTACAGCTTGTCAACAAGACGTGTTCGTACTGCTTGTTCCCAGTTGTTGACAAGTCTGGAACAAGTTGTTATCATCTTGTAACAAGGTTGATGAAGCCACCAGACTCGCAAGTTGTTCCAACAAGTCTGATATCGTCTGCACGTAACAAGTTGTTAACACGTTGATGACAACAAGCTCGTAGCAACTTGTTGCTATATATCTATCTTGCAAACAGCCTGTTTTTGTCTTGTTGGAACAACTTGTAGCAAGTCTGTTACCGTCATCAACCTTGTAACAAGGCGATAACAACTTGTTCCAGACACAGACTCAGATACAGACCTGTATCACAACAACTGGGAACAAGTTGTTCCCCGAATTTAGTTTTATAATTATATTCATGCTTTCCACTCTTTTTCAAGGAATTTATTTTATTGGATTGCACATAGTTTCATGTGGCTACTCCAGCTCGTAATTTTCCTCATGATACTGATAATACATTGTACTATGACTCGAGATGGACCTTCCGTGTTTATCAAGGTATTGATTTATTAATAATAATAATCACATCATGTATGTAATTACGATACGCATTGAACTGATGAGGTTGCGAGGCTGGTACTCCTATGCATCTTAACCCAGCCAGTCAGGAAAGCTCGAGTACACACGTAAAAATGCACAAGTTGTAACAAACCTGCAGCAGACTTGTAGCAATGCTGTTCCAACAACTTGTCAACAGGATGTGTTCGCACTGCTTGTTCCCAGCTTGTTGACAACTTGCTACAAGGTTGCTGAGCTCAACAGACTTGTTACAAGTTGTTCCAATAACTTTTTATCGTCCTGCAATTCAACAATTTGTCAACAAGTTGTGAGTGACAACCTTGTAGCAACTTGATCAAATAGCAGTATTGTTACATCTTGTTGACAAGTTTGCTACTAACCTGTTGCGAACACATCTTGTTGACAAGTTGTGAAATTTTTAAGTGTGTACCCAGAGATAAACCCTCTGTAATCACAGAAGAGAACCGACCATAACTCTACGTAGATGCACACACGCCCAGTACAGGCTACAGTCGTAAAGATTACGAAATCAAGCTTATTCACATATTTTCTATTTATTTTAAGTGTGTTCTAATGGCAGGCGTAATCTTCAACTCGCTGTCGGATATACCAGCGAACGTTTGGCTAAACTGCATTTTGAATCGCAACAAAGACGCAAAAGGTTTGTGGATTTCTGTCTGGTGTTAATATGAAATAAAAACCTCGAACGAATAAATCTGAAAAATCCAGAAATCCCAGTCTCTCTTCGACGTCACACATGTAAAAATCTCACAACTTGTCAACAAGATGTGTTCGCAACAGGCTTGTAGCAAGCTTGTCAACAAGTTGTAACAATGCTGTTATTTTATCAAATTGCTACAAGGTTGTCACTCACAACTTGTTGACAGATTGATGAATTGCTGGACGATAACAAGTTGTTGGAACAACTTGTAGCAAGTCTGTTGAGCGCAACGACCTTGTATAGCAAACAGCATTTCTACAAATCTGCTACAGGTTTGTCACAACTTGTGCGTTTCTTACGTGTATATATACCAGCTGAAAATCTTGATTTTTTCGTCTGATATAAATTTAACACCTGTCGTAACATATTGCATGGGGCATTATTGAGTTGTGAATAATTTCTATAGACTATACAACATTAATGCATTGTAATCTCTCTTGTAAAGGTCCATGTTATGATGGTTTTGTTGGGCTTATTTTACTATCGCACGTTGCATTCTTCTTCGTCATGAAAACTGAATTTCGACGACTCAGAGATGTAAGTCATGTTGAGAAATAGTCATATAGTATTTAATTTTTCTTTGAAATAGTTCAACCGGACATTGTTGCAGAAAAGATTGTAGAAAAACGATTTATTGCTAAAATCCTAAATTATTATATTGTAGAAACTTCGTCAAATTATTTTCAAATTTTATTTACTCATTCAAATATATTGCAAAGCCAAAAGTTAAATATATTAGCATGTATATTTTATACCAGGCTTTATGTAAATAAAATTAAAAGATGGTAAAATTAACAAAAGGTGAATGTTTTAGACGAAGTTTTCCATGAAATTCAACCTTTTAAATTTCCTTTGTCATAGAATCTGTGATGCCTGATGGCTATAAAGCATTGCTATTAAACATGTTCTCTCTGAACACGGGATTTCTATTTCTCTACACATGCAGGTTGCAATATGGCACGTGGCTGACAGAATAGACAATCTCGAAACAAATCAATCAAAACTGCAAAAACGATGATGTGCTGTACTCGTTCATTTAATACAAGTTTGGAGAAATATATTACACACGTAAAATCTCACAACTTAACAAAATGTGTTCGCAACAGGCTTGTAGCAAGCTTGTCAACAAGTTGTATAACAATGTTGTTATTTTATCAAGTTGCTACAAGGTTGTCACTCACAACTTGTTGACAAATTGATGAATTGCAGGACGATAACAAGTTGTTGGAACAACTTGTAACAAGTCTGTTGAGCTCAACAACCTTGTAGCAAGTTGTCAACAAGCTGGGAACAAGCAGTGCGAACACATCCTGTTGACAAGTTGTTGGAACAGCATTGCTACAAGTCTGCTCTGCAGGTTTGTTACAACTTGTGCGTTTTTATACGTGTGTAGTTTAGTGTTACATTGCATGCGCTTATTAGTATGCAATATTGTGCAACAACTTTAATACAAAAACATTTTAATACATCCTAATTATTAAGTCTCAGGGTGCGATAATTCGCGTACTTACAGAGGTACGACAATATTCCAGTCTGCATGGTATATACTTCTTGTTTACAGCCAAGTATAGGTATCTGCATATACTTACATCTTGCTGGTACCTTATTAATATATGACCAGCAAACTTTTCAAGGTATTCAAAAGTCCAAAACCGCTATTAGTAGGTATATGTGAACTGTGACCTGTCTGGATTTATCGCACCATCAATTATCTAACTATTAGTAAGACGATTGGCTGATCCTCCAATTACCTGTAAGGGAAAAAATGTAATAATTCATTTTTTCAGTTCGAAATTCGTTTCAATTTAAGTGACCGGTTAAATATTTAACACACAACTTTAAGTTGTAAGTTATTTGTGAGTGATAAAATACTTTTACCCACAAAAATTTGTTTGTAATTGATGTATATAACAATTCTAGTAATTAAAGATCATTAATGTGAATCAGCTTGTAAATATGGTGGATATAGTGTGTTAGTATTTTGCTAGTGTGAGACTTATGTTTATTAAAAGGCTATCATATTAAACTTATATAGAAAAAATTCTAGTAAAAATAAGCCCCAATTAGAGTTTTCTCTTGAATTAAACAAACGTTGGGACCCCCGCAATTTAATAAAAATTCACTATGTAAATAAATAAATAAATAAATAAATAGATATAGTATGAAGGTGATAAATTCTGTCAATTGTGATTCAGATATACTTACTTTGTCCTTGAACTTGGTACAAGTTTTTTCTAGTTGTGATATTCTCCTTGTCAAAGACCGCATCATATTTATATCACACTGAAACTTAAATTTACAGCAATATATGTCAAAAATGAATGACAATGTGACAATAAGAAACATCTCAAGCGGTGAAAAATATTACCTGCGGTAGTTTACAACTTCCAGGCTTTCCTTTTAAACCCTGTCGAGAAAAATAAATGAAAGTTGGTTTGATGTTACCATAGACAATCATAGAAAAGTCATGCAGTGGTAACCTCTAACTCTAACTCTAACCAAATTAATAAAAAAAAGAAACAACTTTAGAAACTGCTCAAATGACGTCACGTCAGTTTGGTAAATGGAAACAAGTGAAAAGCAAAACTTACTGGTGGACCTTGTCTTCCCGAAGGCCCAGGCGGCCCTGGTTTACCCTATAATATTAAAAAGATCAACACATAGTTTTAGTCGATGTACAGTTATGAACAACAAACCAACATCGATGTATGTATATGCATGTATATTATTATAAAAATGTTATGAACAAGGCACCAATATCGATGTTTGTATGTATATTATTAAATGCAGACAATCAAGAGAATGTCAAATGATGCATGTTTTGTTCCAAGAACCATTGCCAGTTATAGAGCGTTGGCACATGACGTCACAGGCGCCATGTTGGTGTTCCAATTCAAAAGCATTTTAATAAGACACTCTTGTCTGGAACACCAACATGGCCGCCATGGCTTTTGTTGAGGTGGTCCCTGGGGAATGGGTAATTGCTAGATAGTATACTTCAAAATAAGATTTCCGTTTTTATGACGTAGAAAAAACCCTCCTAACGCAAAACTAAACTCTAACCCTAATATTAAACTTAACCCTAACCCCAACCCTAACCTAACCATAACCCTAACCTAACCCTAACTTATTTAAAAAAATGATATAAAAACGGAAACCTTATTTTGAAGTATACTATCTAGCAATTTCCCTGGGGAATGAGTGCAAACGCGCTATACAGCGCGTCATTCAAACTACTTCATCTGGATAGTTTCGTTGGCATACTCCCCAGTTCCATCTGTGAGGCATTATGTTGAGCGGTACAAGCACTAGAACACACCTTAGGTCCTGCTTTCCCATTTGTACCATCACGACCTTGTAAAGCTAGTGTTACAACACTCTGCAGGTTATGAAACAAATACAAACATATCATTGGATAGAACGATGAAAATACTGGGCAAATACAAGCTAGAGATGCCGGGTTTAAACAGCCTTTCTCACGTCCCATTTTTCCACAGAAGGCACAGGTGGGCGCGGGCAAATCGAGCCTGGGCCTCCTGTGGTTTGAATTGTCTAGAATCTTTCACAAGGGCAGACAGTACCCCCCAAAATAGCGGATTTTGGCCTTCGTGAAAAAGGCTAATTTACTAACCATTATCTGTCATATTATGTAGGATATGGCGGTCAAACAAGAGGGCCGAATGAGTGCTAACATTTCAGTGAAATTGACCAACAACTGTTACGCTGTAATACTTACTGAAAGCCACTACTAAGGAATACAATGTTTACCTCCTTGTCTTTAGAACGACTGTTTTCTTTTAGTAAATTGTTAATTTTCTTCTCCGTGATCGCAGCATGATCTAACATGACGGGAGGTTGGCTTGGCGTGCCGATACTTACAGCTGGATGAGGTTGAATCGTTGGCTAAACAAAATATCACGAATATATTTAAGTTCTTAAAGCTTTGGTCATGAGGGCCATCTCATATTGGTCCAGTGTTACTACAGTCCGTGGATAACAACGTAAACTAAACTGTATTTATACTGAAGAGCTCTATCACTTCCAAACTGTTTTTCCCAGAGAACCAGCAGCGGACTCCGTTACTGATTTAGTATTACTGGCAAAGCGGGAAATCTACGGCTATGATGTTTGGTAGAGCCAGTGGCGTAACCCAACCGCCGGGGGCCCTCCGTCAATCGGCCACTTTGGGCCCCCTTTGCTCCACTAAAAATAGGCTCCAAAAATTTTTCTCGGAACAATTTATTTTTGGGATTAAATTATTCTAGTATATCGTCCTTTTCCTCAGTCGCGACGTACTTAATCCGTCTCAGCTTCAGGAATGTTACGTGTATCCCCCAATTTCTCCACGGATTTAGCCTTTTCCAGAGTATGGTTTTTTTTAATTCAATTCAATTCAATGAATTCAATTTCCCAGAAATGTGCTATCAAATTTTTTATGGTCATTTTTGTCGGGGCCCCCTAAAGTTCGGGGTGCCCCGTCACTGGACACCCTGACACCCTCCCGTTACGCCACTGGGTCTCAGAGCCAACTGATCATGAAAATACCATGATCAGTTGGCTATAATACCATGAAAATACCATGATCAGAATATACTATATAGAAAGTACTAAGTAGTACTATAGCCTCATATGCTATCGTAATTGAGATGAAATCGTAACCCAAGTCACATGTACAAACCAAACCACTGTCCTAGCATTATAAATGACCGAAGATATTATACACCTTTTCATAAATGGCTGCCGATTAAAAATTCTTTTATGTGCATATAAATTGGCCCAACTAGCCTCGTACTCGTGTTAAGATTTCAAAGGAATTTCTACCCAGAAACGAGGCTAGTTGGGCCAATTTATATGCACATAAAAGAATTTTTAATCGGCAGCCATTTATGAAAAGGGTGTATGGAGCTTGACCAAGCGACGTTTTTATCAACACCGACGTCAGATTGCCGAGGGAGGACTGGATTAAAAACTGTATTTTTGTGGTAAAGTTTTTTGCTTCCTTACACGAGCGCCATGATGCAAAATGCCGTCAAAACCATAGAGATTATAAATAACACTAGAGGAGACATCGAGTTTAAAAATTGGGAACGTAGCTAATGGGGGGCAAATTCAAGTCCCGGATATAAAATCGAGCTCTCATTGGCTGATTTGAAACTCGTCACCAATGGGAACACGAATACACATCCGGGACTTGAATTTGCCCCCCCCCCCAATAATCGCGTTCCCTTTTTTTTAGTGAATTAAGATTACAATGCCTCCTCTAGTGTTATTTATGATCTCTATGGTCAAAACTAGTTCTACCAATTTTCGGGTGACGTCCATGTCGACAAAAACGTTGCTTGCTTGCACTAATATCTGAAACGTTCAGCTTACTTGAGGTTTACTGTTGGGCGCAACCACAGTTGAGACTGGTATTCCTGGCACTTTGCTACCATCTGGTACCAGTTCATAACCATTGCTTGTTCTGGCCAGAATATACTTCTTACCAATAGCACTATCTGGGAAACTCCATGAAGTGGTGGTTAGATGTATGGTCATCATATACCATAGCATGGTACTAGCTACAGTTACCATAATTACGGTGTCTTTGTGTGGTACAATATAGGAAACAGCACACGATCCCTAAGAGCGAGCAGAACTTTATGTATTTTATACATTTATTACATCTAACCAGGAGCTGTTGTGAAAATACAACTATAGACCCTCTGAGCTCCAACTGAGCTACAGAGACCAGTTGTCGAGGTCTAACTGAGCTACAGAGGCCAGTTGTCGAGGTCTAACTGAGCTACAGAGGCCAGTTGTCGAGGTCTAACTGAGCTACAAAGACCAGTTGTCGAGGTCTAACTGAGCTACAGAGGCCAGTTGTCGAGGTCTAACTGAGCTACAGAGGCCAGTTGTCGAGGTCTAACTGAGCTACAGAGGCCAGTTGTCGAGGTCTAACTGAGCTACGAAGAGACGGTTGTCGAGCTCTAACCGAGCTACAAAGAGACAGTTGTCGAGGTCTGAGCTACAGAGAGACAGTTGTCGAGCTCTAACTGAGCTACAGAGAGACAGTTGTCGAGGTAGAACCAACTGAGCTACAGAGGCCAGTTGTCGAGCTCTAAGCACAGGTTCATGTAGATATATAGTTGGCGATGCCAGAATAAGGTATGGGAAAAAATCTCGATATTTCGGAATATATTTAATATAAAAAACTTCAAAAATCTTACCTGAATTTTATTACATAATCTTGCTATGTACTTGCTTTAGAAATTGAATTCAACATGCAATAATGTATTAAAAACCATGTCACCAACAAACCGAGTGGTCTTTCGAACCGTACAAAGACGAAATGTTATCCGATTAGCAAATTAGTTCCACTGTATATTTGCAGCTAAAAAAACTTTGGCGAGAAACGTTGATCACGTACAAGAATTATTTGGTAGAGCAAAGGGAAACAGCGTGTGGACGGGTGTTTATGTATTTGTCAATGCAGGTGACCGCGAAAACAAGCAAGGCAATATTGCCCAACCACAGGCTGCTATGATCGCGCGAAATTTAAACGAAAATACATTGATTATCAACGGAAAGACTTCGATGTTTTAGTTGTCAGAGGAACTTTATCTCTGAGATCTTGAGTGAACGCTCTGTTCTCTAGCCTATAGAACGCTGTATCAGTGACGTTCTGTCAGTCTATGATGATGATGATGATGATGATTTTATTGATCCATCTTTAGTTTAAAAATACAATGGATTTACAAATACGTCTATTAAAAGAGAAGAGCATAACTAAGCATGCAATAATATTTGCAAACTATCTAAAATTTATATATATACAATTTGGAGTAAATTATTTAAAAAGTTAATAAAAACCAAGTTTGGTTTTAGTTATATCTATACATCGGTTTCCTTCCACAGGGAATGTGGACAGGGTGAGTTAGGATATATTCAGAGATAATTCAAGAAATTTAGTTGTACAAACACATGGAATACTTTGTCTTTAAGGCTTTAGTGCATAAAACACAGCTTTCTAAAAGTATCCATTCAGAAACCTGAAATTACGAGTCGGAGAAAGAAAGACGATTGAATATGCCAACACTGCATGCATTTGACGCCAACAATCCTTCGTCCCATCCCAGTCATGTTTCATGGCATGGCGAAGAGATACGATTTCGAATATTTTCAAAAGTTTGCCTATCAGATGGTACCAGCAAAATGTTTCATTTTGACAATGTTACATTTTGTTACACTAGTACGCAGATAACGAGGGTTTCGCGTTAATAGTGGCAGTTCAAATACTAATATTATACTAATACTAGACCAATTCATGATACAGTGTTTGGTGATTATCCATATCAGTGGACAATTCGCGACCAACATATTGCAAGCCCCTTCTTGCAGCATGCAAATTCACTCCTTAAACGTTTTATCAACTAATTTTTGAAAAATATTAAGCGGGGGAGGGGGAACCACCCCCTTTGCCCCTGTTATGTGAACCATCATCAGCACGAGTGTCCACTATGGGTGTGATATGTTAATATGTAATGTCCGACATTGTTACTTGATAAGTTGTCAAATATTAGCAAATTTGTCAAATTTCATTCTTGATTACTTGCTTTTCCAAGATAATTGATAATGTTCTATAAATAATTAATGATGTAGTATTGTTCTGCATATAGGTGCTTCCCCTATAGTGGGACTTTCCCTTCCATATTGCACCGCATTGGTCCAACGACGACACACCAATCACATGGCTGCACGAATGAATATTTGTGTCAAGATGCGAAGTTGCCTTTTAAGCAAAATTTTTACTTAGGTCATTCATATTTGGATGTTTGTATCCCCGAAGCAAGCACCATGTCGACAGAAAAATCACAAGCAGATTTGGAGTTAACAAAAGTCTCTATCCCCGAAGCAAGCACGATGTCGACAGAAAAATCACAAGCAGATATGGAGTTACCAAAAGTAAAACGTTCCGTAAAACGTCTCGCGTTTGTTGTGGGCATCGCGGCCTTGGTAGTCGCTGCTTGTCTAATTCTTGTCGGCTTTCTCATTTGGAGAAACATCAAACTAGAAGGACAAATCAATATTCTTAAGAAAGAACAATACAAGGGGCAGATGAGCGACATGAAAGTCGAAATATTAAAGAAAGTCAACAAAACTGAAATCTCTTTGCGACGTCTTATTGAGAATCGCACGGTCAATATTCTAAACACAATTCAACATATAAAAACGGCGAATAAATCTTCCCCGAACACTGGAGATGACGTGCGCGAAAGCTTTAAAGACATAAAAGAGAATTTGGATGTTCTTGTGGAAACCATTGCGAATCTAAGAGCAGTTGTTTTAAGAATGAATACGTCCACAGACTCGACGATTTCTCGTCTGCGCAGGAATTTGAATGTGACCAAAGAATATCTCATCCGTGTACGAAACGAAGTGACGCAATTGAATTACTCTTTACGTACAGATATGCTACCCTTCGTTGTCGGAGCTGTGAACGATCTACGTCAAGAGTTAAACTGGCTGCGAAATTCAACCATGGCGAATGTTAGCGAACTGTTGCGACATTGGAATCGAACGGACAGTGAAATCGAGGATATCATAACATTGTTAGCGCAACAAAATGAAAGCTTGCATTTTAAGATTGCGTATCATTCTGACGTGTTGTACGCGGAGGTAAAGGATGTTGAAAAAAAGCAGTTGAAATTCCACAATGATACAAAGATAAATCTAAAAGAGCTTCGTAGCGATTTGAACCAAACGCGGCGCAGTCTTCAGGAGAAATTGGACAACCAAATCGCACGCGTCAACAAAACTTGGCGCAAAGATCTTGAAGACATCGACGCATATCTGCGTTTATCCATGAAGAATATAAATGTAAAGGTGGACGGAATCAAGAAAGAACTTGCAAAAAACAGAAACGATTTTATCAACAAACAGCAAAAATTGAAAGACGATTTCTTAAAAACAAAAGCAAGCTTCCAGGAAAACGACGCGAAACACGACAAAGCAATTTCCGGTCAAGAGACAAAAATGGAAAGCATTGGAAAAAGAATTGCGAACGTGGAAGACAACCTGAATTCAAAGACAAGCAAGATTGAGAAAGATGTGGGTAATCTGCAGAAGAGTGTGAATGAAATAAAGAATAAGGCGACTAGAGTGTTGCGAAGCCATGTTCCGCTTGTGCTTGTACTCTTGCAAATCTTAAATCAGTTTTTCTGAACGAGACTGAACTATGATGGTGAATTTCTATGAACACAAAAGTTGATTATTGCATGCATATATAATTATAAGAAGACATTAAAACATTTAATATGAAGAAATAATATAAAATCATATAGCAGGGAATCATAATATACTGATGCAAATTCGTGGGTGTAAATAGATTGCTGAAATTTTGTATTATAAATTATTGTATTAATATGATTATGAAAGATTTTACTGGGTTTTTTTTCTCGTACATTGCGTTATTTATTGTGTCAATTTTCGATTGCCTTGATGGATTTTTTTTTAGTGGAGGAAATTCACTTTTTCCAGTGTCAGTGAAGAGACAAAGTCTGAATTTCCAACCAAGGGCGGATTTTCATTTTTTTAAAAGGAGGGGTAGAAAAATTTGTAGTGGGGTGCAAGCAGCACCACTGAGGAAGCTTCGGCAGAGGTTAGGGTTAAAAACTTTCACACAAAATAGGAGGAATGAAGCAAAATTTTGGTGGGGTTGAATGCTTTATATGAGGGGTTAGAAAAATTTAGGGGGGTTAACCCCTCTAACCAAGGGTGGGTTGTAGCGAAGTAGTTGTAGTTCGCTACTGTAGCAAACTACAATTTTCAAGTAGCCAGTAGTTTTTGACTACTTTTTTAAAACAGTAGTTGTAGTTATAGCGAACTACATTTTGCCTAGAAGTAGCCAAGTAGTTGACTACTTTTCAAACAGCGAATCGCTATTCGCTACTTTTTAAAATTGTTAGCAACCTGATAGAATAGCGCCATGATATTGAAACACAGTTTGCTTAAAATCAGTACTCAGTAGTCAATTTGCACTCCTGAACACTGTAGTGCTTACAAAAATGTTGCTTTGTGTTTACTGTTACGACTCGTAAGTCGATTTGTTATAGATTACATTACAGCCTGAGTTAGTAGATGCTCCAAATATAGTAAAACTAAAAAATATAGTGTAGCGAAATAGCGAAATAGTTCGCTACATTTTTTAAGCAGTAGCTGTAGTCAGTAGCGAACTACCTTTGTTCAAAAGTAGCAGTAGTTGTAGCTGACTACATATTTTTGAAGTAGCTGTAGTTATAGCGAACTACAAAAATTTTGTAGTCAACCCACCCTTGCCCCTAACCCCCCAGTAAATCTGCCCATGTTTCCAACAAAACTGTAATCTACACTCAAATTTGGCTGTTGTTATAAGACGTGTCAGAATAAGTCGTGTGCAACCAACTTGAAGGACAAAAAAATGGTCAAAACGTATTAGCCCTACAATGCTTTTATTGATTTCATTCAATACATCTTTGGTCTTCATTCTGTGATGGTTCTGCAAGAGAGAAACATTTCATTAGACATGATACAACACTGGAACATATTCAGCGGGGAAAACTTACGGTGAAACAACGCCATCCTTGATACACAGTCTGACAAGAGCTTCATCAGAGTCACCCTGGGAGATAAAATTAAATAAAAATTATCACAAGAATTCACAGTTAAAACTACACAAATTGACAACAATTCAAAACATTCCTTACAGAATTTCGCAGGAAACCACTGAATGCATAAGTCTTGAAATTGTTTGTGTATCGTCCGTTCTCATCAAGCTGAAAAGGTTGTTTAGAAAGTATATTCAATCATACAAACCTACATTTATTCATAAACACACTTATTTAATAGCATGAAGTGCCAAGCAAAATAATAGAGTAAAAAAATAGAGCAGTACTTTCCACTTGACAAGTAAAAAAATAGAGTAGAATAATAAGGCCTAAAAAAAAATACCTGTGGTTCCAGTTTCATATCGCAAAAAAATTAGGGTCGGTAGGTCGGAAATAATTTTTTTAAAATATTTTTTTCATGGTTTTTTCAATAATTAGTGTGACAACAGACGCCATTTTGGCAGCAGCCCGCAACCACCCGGAGAAAAAGGGTTGTATGGTCAATCGCATTGAAAAAATAATAGGGTCGGCAGAGAAAAATAGGGTCGGTCGGGAACCGGAACCACAGGTATTATTTTTTTTAGGCCTAATGTAGGGTGCATCAGGGCACACTACCACTTGAAGGGTTCAATACAGTCAAGCAGAAAACGAGATAGCATCTACGGTACCTCGCCAACGTTGATTTGAACGGAAGCATGGTCTTTTGCGGCAATAATTCTGTTTGTGACAGAGCTAAAAATAAATTATGACCACTATGTTAAAGGCGATGGAATATGGCATAACATTCAAGCCGTAGACTTTAACATATAATTTATGCATTTAATTTGATACGACGATAAGACGTTGTATGAAACAAAGACGCTCTACAGACGTTCAATTGTGGAAAGTTTGTATTGCGCAACCAAGATATCGGGCGTTGATGCTTTCTATATATTTACTATTACATTTTTGAAATCTCGGTTGCGCAAATTCTAAACGTTCCAGTCAGGCAGATCTTGTATCCACCTGGTCATGACGGATTGGACAAATTTAATTTATCCGACAAATTTAATTTGTTTCATACGATGCACTACCGTCACATTCAATTTGTTCAATTAAATTTGTCTGAATTAAATTCAACAATATTGTGCGACATATGAAACAGGCCTTACCCCTTCCATGAGACAAGTCTGCAAAGTGGGCAAAATTGATGGACAGTCGCTATATAAAAACCCTCTACCCCTGACCCCCCTCTCCTTTTTGGCAGAAATGTATATTTGATAATATGAATATTTTTGATCATAAAATATGGTTTGCAACAGATGCTCTATTCTTTCCAAGCACAACTCAATCTCACCATTTCCTTGGTATATATGTATCAACAACTTCTCCACCGTCGTTTTGCATTTTTAATGTCTAATTCACACGCAAACCTAATAAATATCGCACATACAGAGTTTAGAAGGGTTTATTTAAGGTTTACTTGCAAGAAATGAGTGAAATTTATTGAGAAAATCAATAATTTTGGGCCATTTTTGACTCACCGCTCTACACGTTTTTGAGAGAAAATTTGGAAAGAAAGAATATATACCATCATGCTTTGAAATAGTACCTCCTATCCATTGTTATCGCAATATCCTACCTCCTATCCATTGTCATCCAAATATCCTACCTCCTATCCATTGTTATCCCAATATCCTACCTCCTATCCATTGTTATCCCATGAAGGACCTACTAATCCTTTTGTTACCTTCATTATTCACAATTATCCCATTAAGCTCACAATTTACCCTCTAAAACCATTAAAACCCTCTACTATCCCTAGATTTAGGGATAGCATGGATGCCAAGTAGTACAATTGTGGATAGAACGAATTTCTGGAACTTGACAATCTTGCAAAATAACCCTTAATATACATTACAAACCCTAATATATACTTTTAATACCCTATCAAAGTCAAGCAAAAATCAACACTATCCTATCAATGTACCTATATACCCCGTTGTAAATAAAGAAAAATTGGAAAAGGTCAAAAGAAGATAAATTTATAGAAAAAAATATGAAAATAAACGTATTTTAATCGAGAGAATATTTTGAGCTTCTCTATGGAGCTAGACGAAGACGCATCCGTTATTTATGGTCTAGAATTTAATGTAGGTTTTTATGATTTTCGACTAAATTCTTTGATATAAAATTATATTCTATTTTGTGCATATTAAATAAATATTTATTTTTATCCCTTAATTTTATTTGTTCTACGAATCAAACGAACGGATAAAGGGGGCAAAGGTTTCTGTTTCCAAGTAACGGAGTAAAGATAGAGCAATATAAAAGTATTGACGATTTGCAGTTTTGTTATGTATAAATTGTTACAATTGGGCTATTACATTTAATATCCGTACCCCCCCCCCCCCCCCC